CCTTTTACTGATACCATATTCAGCAATAAGTTGTTCTACAGACACACCTTTTTCAATCTTTTGAACAATCTCTAGACGTTTTGCGACGGTGTTTCGCTTTTTCTGTGAAGGGACAGCTTCCATATTGATAGTTATTCTTGCAAGCTTAGCGAGCACAGCAATAGTTTCTTACAACTGCCAGTCGAATCTGCGAACTATCGCATACTTATTTCAATGAGTTCTTGCAGAATTAACTGCATCTCTATCGCACTCACTTTAATTCTTCATGTAACAACCGGCACTATTGAACCATACTACTGTAAAGTAAATGTAACCGTAAACGTATTTTCCTAACAGTAGCCTCAATTTAAATAAAATAATAAAATGGTAAACCCATGTAGTAATATGTCGAATTGTTCATTTCTGAGAATATTTTATTTAATACAGTAATAATACTGGTTTTATGACTGAACTAAACTTGACTATAGTCACAGTATAGTTAAGTATAGTTCAGTGGAGAACATGAATCTAGAGACGCGGTAGCGTCTCGACGCCAAGTTCATAAAAAATTATACATATGTAGATGATACTTGGATACTCAGATGTTCGTGCGTTCACGGACAAGTAGCAAGCCAAGGACACGGTTCTCACTCTGTTCCACCTCTTCTGACACCATGCGCTGTGTTATCATTGGCTGCGGCCGGTGACAAGAGACGACGGCGAGCATATCGAAACAGAGTGAGACGAATTGATTTCACAGCATCGGCGTGGCTAATTATTCTCGGGTTTTCGTTATCTTTGTAAGTGTTTATAAGACTGTAATAGTCAGCACTTTGATTAGGAGGCTACGCCGATGCTGTAAAGTCGTCATTCTGTTTCATTCTGTCTCGGTATGTTCGCGGTCGTCCTTTGTCATTGGCCGTAGCCAATAACGACGTAACGCATGGTAGCAGGAGGAGGGGGACAGAGTGAGAAAGAAAATTAGTTTACCTCGGCCAACTTGTGAACGGACGATAGTCATGGATACAGAGTGCCACAAAGATGTGTAGAGATGAGTCAATTTACGAATTAGTTACTGCGCGTTTACACTACAACTTTGTATTTTAAACACTCAAGGTGTATTCACATTGTAAATATTGAAAAAACAATTTGTTCGATGTAAATGTGTCTTAAAGTACCCTAACCAAGGTTTACAAATGTCAAAATAGTTTTGCACGCTTTTCGTTTGAACGTGTCTGATTAATTGGAATTCATTATTCCTTGAGTTTTATAAGTAACAGTTTTATAGGTTAACGTAAATTAAGGAAAAACAGCTTTAAAAATGGAAGATCTGCAAAAATTGGAAGAGGAAGCCAAAGCAAGGGGAACAAAATATGTGTCGAATTTGTTGCAACGTCCAGGTCAATTGGAAAAAATTGATATGTACAAACGTAGAATAAGCCGGAAAAAAGCTTCCGTGGAAACTATGCTCAAAACTGCAATGCAAAGTCAATTAGATGGAGTTCGGGTAGGTTTCGAACAACTCCAAAGTTCCTTAGAGAGTATTGCCTCTGTAAAACAGGATTTGAATGATATTGGCCAGTTATTCAGTCAAGTTCCAGAACTCAATGCAAAGTTGCAAGCTGTTCAAGATGAGAATATGCGTCATTCACAATACGTTACTGCCAAAGAAAATTTAAAACATACTTTTACTGTTCCCGACAGTGTGGAAAAGACTAAGCAGTGGATAAACGAAGGCAAACTTTTACATGCCCATCAAAGCATTATGGATCTTGAAAACTCAAGAGATGATTTGCTATACGAACTTCATAAGCTTCCAAATCAATCACCAGCAGACACAGTCATGTTAAAGGCTTACCTAGAAGACATTGAAATGCTTTCTCAGTTAATGGAAAAGCAAATCAGATTGGTCTTAAGCCGTACATTAAACACAGTTAGGAAAGAGCCTACAGTTATTGTAACAGCTTTAAGAATTATAGAAAGGGAAGAAAAAGCAGATCATTTTGCGATTCAGAGGCATAAACAAAGTGGATTTATGCCACCAGGAAGACCTAAAAGATGGAAAGACATGGCAATGAAAGTTCTTGAAAAATCTGTGGCTAATAGAATTGAAGGGACTCATGTTGAAGAAAGGGCAGATAATAAAATGTGGTTGGTTAGGTACTTGGAACTTACAAGGCTTCTAATTTTAGAAGATTTGAGAGTTGGTAAAACATTATGTGTACCCTGTTTTCCACCTTGGTATAATATTGTAAGTACTTTGGTTAAAATGTATCATACAAGCTTGTCTCAGCATTTGAAAGACATAATTGCAAATGGTTTAGAAGGAAATGAATATGTTTCCTTACTATCCTGGATTATGAATACTTATACTGGACCAGAGCTGATGCAACATCCTGAATTAAATATTGATACAAGCGATATCGGCCCCCTGTTGAGTCCTGAAATTATAAATGACCTGCAAGAAAAATATTTGAAAAATATGTGTCAAAATTACGAGGATTGGATGAGAAAGACTTTAGAAACTGAAAAAGTTGACTGGTGGTGTGGAGTGTTGCCAGAAGGAAGCACTCAAGAGGCACATTATCACACAGCAGCACCTGTAATTATATTTCAAATGATCGATCAAAATCTTCAAGTTACAAAAACCATTAGTGCAGATTTAACAGCACAAGCATTAGTTCTGTGCATCGAACAAGTTATTAAATATGGATTTATGTACAGACAAGCAATGTTGGAATTTAAAAATAAACATTTTGAGGACAGAAGTCAAGTACCATACTTTACTCATCACATGATTACAGTTGTTAACAATTGCTTACAATTTACGGAATTAGCACAGCAAATGAAACAGATTTATTGGGTTCCTAATACCGGTGAACATGCCACCATTAAATTTGAAAATCTGTTATTGAATTATCAAGAGTTACGAAATGAAGCAGCAACTATACTATTAGAAGAATCTTTCTTGGATCTAGAGTTACTATTTCAAGAGTTGATTACACCCAAGTGGTTGTCATCTCCTATTCCAGTAGAGACTATTTGTGTAACCTTGGAAGATTATTTTCAAGATTACAACCATTTATGCCCAAAAAATTTTGAGTATGTCATTATGGAAGCACAGAATCTAATTGCAAAACGTTACATTTCTGCTATGATGCAAAGAAAAATCTCTTTGAAAACATACGACGAATGTTTAACATGTACTTCAAAAATAATGACAGAAGCAGATAAATTGAAGAACTTCTTTGATAGAATAGCTCCAAAAGTAGGGAACTTTAATTCACCATTTGAAATAATTAAACGTCTTGCCGAGGTATTACGTTGTGAAGACTCTGAAATTCTCTCACTTGATCTACATTCTTTGGTTGAAAAATATCCTCATATGACTGAAGATCATTTAGTCAGATTACTAGGTCTCAGAGGTGATATTTCTCGTAGTGAAGCAAGAGAAAAAGTTTCATACATTTTTGAAGCTCAACGTAATCGTAAAGCCCCGCAATCTATCGCAGATAGTATATTTAAGCAGATAGTTATACAGGATAGTTTTCTTAGTTGGAAACCTTAAACTTCAAACACAAATTACAAAAAGAACAAATTACAAATTAGTTTTTTACATATCATCAATGAAGGTGATGTAGGAATGATAAAATGTACTTAAGTGATAAAATAACTAGTATACTATACAAATAAATACTTAGAAGTAGAATTGATAGATAACACATATTGCAATCATATTGTAAATAAGTATTTCTAAACTTTTTTTTTTATTTAAACAAAATTAAAATTATTTATTTAACCGTTTACCATTCAAAAGGGTGATTGCATATTCAATACCAAATATTCTTTTATTGTATATTGGTTACACAAAATATGAGAATATGAAAACGAATATGTACGTATGTATGAATATAAAAATATGTGTGTATACAGATGTGTATATGTATATATTATATTTCACATTGCACATGCCATGATTTTTTAACATTCTTACTCCTTTGCAGCTTGAATTTGACATTATAAATAATACAGTAATTAATTCACTGCCTTAGCAACTGAACTGATCTAGATATTTGTTGTAGATAATTGTATTTATGTATAGTCATAGAGGTACATGATCATCAATAGAAAAAACATAACAATAAAAAAGAAGTAAAATACCATAACACACTATGCTTAAACATTTATTTACTTTAGAGGTGATTAAAATATTATATGAAACATACAGAAGCTGTATGTGATAATGTAAAAATACGAACGACTTAGAAAAGAGGTAAATAATTCAATACAAACAATCAGAATAATATTACTCATTCAGTGTGAAATAATGATATTGATCCTATGAATTGTATATTATTTAAAATTTGTCATTTAGCTCATTTGTAGGAAATTGAGTAAATTAATTAAGCTTTTAAATACATTGTACATCCTGCAAATACGTTAACATCATTTCTGTGTGACAAGTAATACTTGTATTTTAAAACAAAGTTAATAAAAAAATGTTATTTTTTTAATTATACAATATTACGATTATAAATACGTTTTTAACACTTAATATTATTGTTACGAAGCAATGTGTACAAAACAATTAAATGCAATTAAACATAATTTATGAGTAATAGATTTATGTACAGTGAGTCCTCATGTACACGGTTGAGCCCCTACTTACACTGTTACACATATTTTATATGTGTGTATATGTATATTCACAAATGAAATAATATTTTCTTTTCTTCAATTCTATTCTTCAAAGCTGTTAAAAACAGCCGTGGAAAAAAAGGAACATGTAAATCGGAAGATAAATATATTATACGAATTATATATAATAGAAATAGTACAGTTGTATTTTATTAGTAAAAATGTATTTTATTCATTATACACTTTACAAAAATTAATTTGTATATACGTATATAATCCATCAAACGTGTTTGACGTCCATCAATTTATTAGTTTAGATTTTTATGATGAAGACAAATTAAAGTAATTTAGACCGCGTACAATATCGGTATTCCTCGTTCTCTTCTATACTGATGTCTCTGCTGCAGTATCGACTGCTCCAGCTGAGCGCAGTTGAGCGTCAAACCACCAAACACCAATTTGTGACACCAATTACTAACGATAGCAACGCTCAATCCCGCTCAATGGTGGCTTCAGGTATCTTGCGGTGCAAAATATCCATCAACATCAACGCTTGGGAATACCTCCTGGGGATACGGAGCACGTGTGTTTGAGGAACTCGCGGCTTCGATTTCTATTCATTACAGACAAGACAAAATACATAAAAAATGCCGCGTATTATGATAAAAGGTGGTGTTTGGCGGAACACCGAGGTAAGTTTTAAGTCTTAACCTAAAATCTACGTTTTGATTATAAAATTCCTCTTCTGAAACTTGTCTTTTGTTTTTACAGGATGAAATTTTGAAAGCCGCTGTTATGAAATATGGCAAAAATCAGTGGAGTCGAATAGCATCTCTCTTACATAGAAAATCTGCCAAACAGTGCAAAGCACGTTGGTTTGAGTGGTTGGATCCGAGTATCAAAAAAACAGAATGGAGCAGAGAAGAAGACGAAAAACTTCTTCATCTTGCAAAATTGATGCCTACACAGTGGAGAACAATTGCTCCAATTATTGGGCGTACTGCTGCACAATGTTTGGAACGTTACGAATATTTGCTGTAAGTTAGATAAGTTTTACAATCTTAACTCTAGAAAGACTGAGCCATAAGTAATCTTAAAGACTAAGAGGAGGCTTATCCTTATCTACATTTTCCATATTTTTGAATAAAAATCTATTCTTAAAGCTAATATTTTATGCCTAATGCTAATTTTGTACATTAACAAATATGTACTATATACAAAAAATATTAACATGAGATTAGATTTTCAATGAAGCAATACATAATATTTTGGATATATTTTATTTAAGAGAAATGACATATTTTAAAAATTACATGACTAGGAATTGAATAAGCCCCTTAGCTCATCCTCAATTTTCCTAAGATTAATGCAATTATACATATTTATATAATTAAGTTTCACATAGTTTTCACTGCACTTTATGTTAGCGATCAAGCTCAGAAAAAAGAAGAAGGAGACGATGCTGCAGATGACCCTCGTAAACTAAAACCAGGAGAAATTGATCCAAATCCAGAAACAAAACCTGCTAGACCTGATCCTAAGGATATGGACGAAGATGGTAGATACTTTACTTTAGAAACTATTATTTCTTGTTATGCGTAACAAAAATAAGAGTAGCAATTTTCAGAATTGGAGATGTTATCCGAGGCACGTGCTAGACTTGCAAATACTCAAGGAAAAAAGGCAAAACGTAAAGCTAGAGAAAAACAGTTAGAAGAAGCTCGCAGGCTTGCTGCTTTACAAAAACGTAGAGAATTAAGAGCTGCTGGTATTACTGTATCACAAAAGAACAAACGTAAACGTGGAGTTAATTACAATTCTGAGGTTCCATTTGAAAAACGACCAGCAGCTGGATTTTATGATACATCTAACGAGCATGTTGATCCTCTTGCTATTGATTTCTCAAGAATGAGGCAGCAACATTTAGATGGAGAATTGAGGCAAGAGAAAGAAGAAATGGAACGTAGAAAAGATAAACAAAAGTTAAAACAACGCAAAGAAAACGATATTCCAATGGGAATGCTTAATAATGAAGAACCTATTAAGAAAAGGAGTAAACTAGTTTTACCAGAACCACAAATATCTGATCAAGAATTGCAGCAAGTTGTTAAGCTTGGCAGAGCATCAGAGGTACATCCTTTTATCTGTATATTAATTAAATATATTAATCGTATGCTTACATACAATTTATGGTGTTTGACATAGGTTGCTCGTGAAGTTGCAACTGAAAGTGGTATTACATTATCTGATAGTTTATTAGCTGATTATTCTTTACCAACAAATGCAGCTGCCACTCCTCGTACTCCTGCTGCTGCAGATAGGATTCTTCAAGAAGCTCAAAATGTTATGGCTCTTACTCATGTTGATACTCCATTGAAAGGTTATATAATTTAACTAAAGGACAAAAGGACGCAGAAATTTGATCGTATATGCATTAATGTCTTTGTTTCTTACAGGTGGTTTAAATACACCCCTGAATAATTCAGATTTTACCAGTGTTGTGCCTTCCGCAAATGCTGTAGCAACACCAAATACAATTTTGGCTACACCTTTCCGTTCGCAACGTAGCGATGGTACTCCCGCTAATTCGTTTAACACGCCAGCGTCTACGCGAACGCAAAACGGAGTTCTCGCAGCTACGCCAGTTCGTGATAAGCTCAGCATTAATCCAGATGAAGGTTTGGAGGGATCAGAGACTCCGTTAATTCAGAAACAAGTAAAAGAACAATTACGTGCTGGCCTGAGTGCTCTTCCAACACCGCGTAACGACTACGAGATAGTAGTTCCCGAAGGGGAAACGAAAGATGAAAGTACTATTGCACCTACGACGGAGATTATTGAAGATCAGGCTGATATAGATGCTAGGCAACAACAAGAATTAATAGAACAAAGTGTGTAACTGCTTAAATATCAACTTACGTATTCTACAAGAATTATTTGTGTAGTAATATATTACATTTAATAGGAAAAAGAGAATTATCTCGTCGATCACAAGTTATACAACGAGATTTACCACGACCGGTTGATGTAAATATGAATATTTTAAGACCATTCATGGATACTCCATTAACGGATTTACAGAGGGTATGACCACGTGCTTTTATTTATCTGGTAATTATTTATTTTTTAACAAATGCTTAATTTTAGGCAGAGGAATTGATTAAAAGGGAAATGATTACGATGTTGCAATATGATTCACTACAGAATCCGGTACAACAGAATCGTAAGGGTTCCTCAAGTTCGTTAGCCCAAGCGCAGACATATTTAGAACAGCATCCGTATGTTAATTTCGAAGAAGATGAACTTAGTGCTGTAAGTTAATTGTATTATACGATATCTTACTTCAACATATGTAATGAACATTATATTTACATTTAATTTAGGCTAAACAGCTCTTGACCGATGAAATGGCAGTTGTTAAAGAAGGTATGGCGCATGGAGAACTTAGTTTAGATTCTTACACAACTGTATGGGAAGAATGCTTATCACAGGTACAGTAACATATTTCATATTCGAAATAAAATTTCGAGTTTAATCTATTGTCAAATATTTTTCACCAGATTTTGTATCTGGAAACGCAAAAACGATATACAAGAGCTACATTAGCTTCAAAAAAGGATAGAGTAGAAGCATGCGAAAGAAAATTAGAAGAAAATCGCATGCATATGACTGGGGAAGCTAAACGAGCGGCTAGAATGGAAAAAAAATTGAAAGTTCTTACTGGCGGTTATCAGGTACTCGTGTTTATTTTTACTATATAAAAGGATTATATTGCGATACATACAATCATGATTGGTATATATAAATCTTTTTTATAATAGACTAGAGCACAGGTATTAACAAAACAGCTACACGATTTATGGGAACAAATAGAACAAGCTCATTTAGAGCTATCAACGTTTAAATTTTTGGAAACACAAGAAGAGGCAGCGGTGCCAAGGCGAGTAAACGCGCTTATGGAAGACGTTAATAGACAAACAGAACGTGAACGCGTATTACAAACACGATTCGCGCAATTGCAAGATCAATTGCAGCAATGTTAAATATTACCCGGACAATTCACTGTAATATACGTCTCAAATATTGTAAACGTTTTGTGAAATATAAAAGACTTACTTTGTATACATGAGAAAAATATTCTCGCGGATTTTAATATTATATAATTAAAGACAATTTATTTCACATTCTGCATAACTGATGACGATTCAGACCCTTTGGACTGAAGGAATTTAACGTGAATGTAATTTATTGTATGCAAACGATTAGTATGATAGTACAGTTATTAAGTAAAAGAAGTATTCTTATTTTATCACTTGTTTTAATAACGTGGTAAAGCAAATTCACGTTTCATAGTTTGCTTTTATTAAACGACGGAACGCGTTATCGGAGTGACATTCATAGTGACAGATATATTAATGCAATACAAGCAGTATGTACATATTCGTATGGAAACGTTTATTTAAAAAAAAATATAAAAAATAGATTTATATACAAAATATATTACTGTTCTCTTCATAAATTTGAAGGCAACTATTAATAAAAATTTTAAAGCCATGGTTTCCATCCTTCGTATGACCGACCTATAATGTTTAAGTCGGTTGCTTCGTCCAGTAAGCATTCAACCTGAAAAATTCAATTAATTATTTTGTAAGTAATCGCAGAAATAACACATCGTAACACGTTACCTGTTGCTCGGGAGTTAAATTGCTATTTCCTATTCTTGCTCGAGTTCGTTTAATGTCGTCATCCCCGGTAACTATAGAATAATACCTATAGAAATATTCATCGTTGTGTTGCTCTTTTAATTGTTCCAAAGTAATTAAAGATGGTTTGACTCCGTCAAATTTTTTCATAACCACTTTGATCTTTTGTCTGGGTACCCATTTTACATCTTCGATATCGATATCGATATCTTTGTCTTTTAACTCCTTGTTAACGTGTTCCGTCCAGTTTAACGGTTCATGAACAAAAACGTCCATGCAAGACAGAATAGGACCCGGTTCGTTCCTTAATGCTCGTAGCGTGTGAGTCATTACTGCTCCCAAAAGATCCTTTTCATTAAAGGGCTTCAGCAAACCAAGAATTTGTGACGTTAGACGAAACGGTATTAACTCGGGAATCTTTTGATCGATACCAGCTCCAAAGGCTAGTCCAAAATCAATACCCAAACAACGTCCTGAATCGATAATGATAACAGTGTTCCCAAGATGTCGATCACCGATACCCAAAATCCAATGCGCGATACACATAGTGGAATAACTAGTAATAAAATTTCGTCTCATTGTAACGAAGCTTTCTATGGATGGGCACAGTACCATGAGCGTTCTACGTAAACCGTCCCATTGAGTTTTACTGATAAACTCGGTCATCTTAGCAATCACTTTTGAGGCGCTATACTTGATTGTAGCTATTTTATACCTCTCGTGTTCATTTTTGAATGGTGCAGCCACTCGTATCCACTCTTTAAATTGACTATATATAGAATTATATTGAGCTCTCTCTTCTTTGGATAATGTGAAATGTATTAATTCCTCCAAAGATCTTGTGTTCTCTATCCACTGTATAAGACCCACTGTTTTAGACAATGGAATTACCTGCATAATACATTATTAATTTATATAAAAGTACATTAAAACTATATTAAATAGACAACACATTTTGCACCCCTGAAATATAATCCCCTTATCTGGTATATTTAAATACTTACCTGGTAAGTATCAATAAATAACTGTCTTTGTTTGCAAGCAGTATCGATGTGCAATGTTTTGTTCATAATTGTGAACAACTGTTGCAATCTTTGATCTTGCCTTAAATCCTCTCCAAATTTAACCAGGAAGTGATATTCCTTTGCATCGTTACCCACCATGGTAATTCGAATAGGTTTGCGCAATGATGGCATTACTTTTATGTTAGGCTCAAACTTGATAATTTTTGTATGGTACTGCGGCATAGGTTTCCTGTCGCCAACATACTGTCCAGGTATTTCTATGTCTCTTTCACAAAATTGCTGTAACCATGGGCTATAGTTCTGTAACGTCACTTTGCCTTTAGACGTATCTGCATCCTTAATTGTCTCAATCATTTTCTTTACTATTTGCTTAATGTTAGAAGGCGTTTTGTTCTCCAATTCTTTTATTTTACTTTTATAAACTGCAATCTTACTGAAGATTGATCCTGGTAGTGGATTATTCTTGTTCTCCCGTGAACTTGGATATACCTTCTTTAGAAGCATATCCACAGCCGTGCACGTTCCTTGCGACAAGTTCTTTAAGAATTCAAGCAGGTAATATCGTAAGTACAATTCTGGTTTAACTACGTATTCCATCGCCATTAAAAATCGCTCTATTTCGGGTCTGTTGTAGAGAATTTGTCGAATTTCATAGGTTCTAGCGTCGTTAAGAAGTGTTGGGTTCATTTCCACCGTCAAGCGTAACGTGTAAATGACCGCGTTTGGATAAGTTTCAACGATTCGTTTGAGGATGGGTATGATTAACGGGGCGATAGACGTCCCTAGATGCGAGAACAGTTGCGCCTGCCATGATAAAAACAGCCAAGTTTGAACCCCTACGCTCTCATTTAGGAAAATGTTTCTCGTCTCTTCATCCTCAAAATATTCCGGTTTTAGTAAGCAAGGAAAATAGTGTACTGCTTCGAGAGATCCATAGATCATTGCCTTTAACGTAGACTTCACAAACTCCTTGCTTAATTGAGTATTACTACCATTTCCGCGCGATAATCTGTCATAACAGTACTTTGAGAGCATAAAGTAGCACTTTTTGATGTTCGTGGTCGTTGTTTCGCAACATTTTTTCAAGTGATTGAAACCGTAATTTTTCAACGTATCTCTGATAGCAGTTAAATCATTATTCTCTGCGTTTATCGCGCTCAAAATCGTAGTATTCCTTGTTAATAATTCAGAAAATGTCTCGTTTTCTTCGCTCAAATCCGCAATTTTTGAAGCTACTTTACTGATTTTCCATCGAACGTCAACGTTCGTTGTGGGATCAAGACCAGTCTGCTCTAGAAGATCATGACATTGCTTCCAAGAGAAGGTATAATTCGACATCTTCTTCTTCACGTTCGACGCAGTCTCCCCATTCAAATACTTCAACTTTGCAACAGTTAAAAGAAACTGATGTTTCATATGCACCGAATAACTCCCTAAATTTTGCTCCATTTGGCAAACGTACTTCTGCGCTATATGTTTATTTTTCTGATTCAATGCTGCCTCGATTATTTTTAATCGCATGTTAAAGGTGACCATGCGCATTTGATGAATGATCTCAGTCCCATTACCTGCGGTTAAGCTTTCTGATTCGTTTTGCGTTTCATTCAAATTCCATTGTTCTAATTTATTATTCAGCGGATAATCGATAAAGTGTATTCTGTAAGATGTTAATTTATCCCATATGAGAATAGAGTCTTGCACCGAGGGTACATTATTATTCCAAAACTTTAATACTTCTTTCAAGTCGGACGGGTTTTCCGCTGTTTTTAAAATCTCTATAAACTTATATATCTCGTTGATTATTCGTAACTTTTGCAGACCATGTGTCCTTAACTGAGTGGAAAGAGGATGAATTCTAATCCATTGTTCTCTCATTTGGTCCAACGTGTTTACCAAAAAATCACGAGCAGCTTCCAGTTTATCGGGTAGGAAAAATATAGATAATTCTTCTCCAAAGAATCGTTTGATGTACTTCACTTTTACTTCATCATTCAACCAAGTCTCGAAGACCTTTACATTGTCTCGAAACGCATCGTTGAAGTCTCCATTTAAAAATCTGCGCACATGTGCTTCAAACAACCATGAGAACATCCAGTCTTTCCATGGATCCTCCCAAATGTTGTTTAAGTTCCTATTTAGTTTCTCCTGTATATGCTCGTCAACTTCGCTCCAGTAACATAAGTTGCTCAAACTTTCGAATAAACCTTGAAGACAATGTTCTTTGACCAGTTCCACATCGGTTTCATATGCCTTCTCGTATGCTGCTTTTGCTTTAACCCAATTATTATCTGCTTGTGCTAGTGATGCCTCCTGAAATTGAGAAATTTCTAGTATCATTTCAAATTTCTATGATTCAAGTTAATGTTCTACAATTCTCTACAATTACATTTATATTTAGTAGAATACAAATAACAAACTTATTATAAAATGTAGCCCTCAGGGGCTGTAGCTACGTTTGATTGTAGTTACAGTACGGGTTTAGCAATCCCGAGGTACCTGAGCTATAATAGGGGAACCAGTAGGCACCAACAGACAACAGAGAATTATGAACAGAGGTATATAAGCAAATGCAAAGTAGTGCAAAGCACGAATTAAATAGATTGTACGACTTTGCACCCTTATACATAAAACTCACCGAATCTACTAAAATTTATATGGATAAATACATACCCGTATATCTTCGTCTTCGATATGATTTCTGAAAATGCTGAGGATTACATCGACGTCATTCATGGACTTATAAAGATTCGTTAACTGTAACCACTCATTGCGCGAGTCAGAAATATTCTCGTTTCGTGCTTTCTTTCTAGGCGGTTCAGTATCATTTGTGCCATGAATTAAATTTTCTTCTACAACAAATGATCCAAGGAAGTTCAAATTATTCAATCTTGAAACCTTTGAAATAACTTCTGGTGGACAATCTGTTATACGAGTGGTCAATAATATTTCTAAAATTGCACCCATAGCAGAATTATTTCCATGTTGATTCTCTATAATATGTTTCAAACTATCTGTAACTTTCTTTACAAAATCATGCTGGTCGTACTCTTCGAGTAATGAACAAACAATGGAAACTATTAAATCTTTACAAATCAGTTGATCTTTCTTTGCTAATTGCTGCAGTGGTTCAATTAACATAGAATGGGAGATTTCAATATCTGGAAAATCTCCTACTCTATATTTTCTGTACAGTTTTACACTACTTCTTTGACGAGCTACTTCTTCCTTTATCATTTCATTCCGTTGTATCTTCTTTTTTATTTCCTTTTGTCGTATAGCTGCAGATATTTCAGTTGAACTGCTCAGCAATCGTTTCGACTTTTTATTGTAAGCAGGTTGAGGCACCTTTGGTATTTTAAAAGTATCGTCATGTTCTAAATCATTTAACGTTAATAGAGGCTCTTGATTAATGTAAGTTGCTTCGAATTCGAGATCTTGTGTCGCTCGAAGCTGGAATTCAGCAGTAGAATTAAAAGACTGTCGCATGTTCATATAATTAAAGGATGTACTTGGTAATGTAACACTCGCTTGAGTCAATGTTTGATTCATTTGACTAGCTAAAGATGGAGCAAAAAGTGGAGCCTTTGATCCCAAATTTTTGGTTCTCCATGAGAGAGATATGTTATAATCTCTATAATTGCAATTGTGTAAAGGTTCAAACATCTTATGTGTATACCTTTTTGACTTTTTGGTAAGGTCAAAGATCATTAAAAGCACAAATGGTAAAAAGGTATTGCCAGCATCAGGTGTGTACATATTTAGAGTTTCTAGTAATCTTTCTGTACAAGCACGCGTTAATTGTGCATCTTGGGTCCAGAAAGTCACTACCTTCTCTGTCAACTGATCAGCAAGATCCAGTACACCATTAAGCAATATTTTTTTGCTGCTGTGCATCAGCTCTCTTATATCTTTATCTTCGGATGTATCAACTGCATATTTCTTATAAATATTCATGAATATATTGTAAGTGCATTCTCTATACTCAGAAGATTCGTGTTTCGCATAAGGAATGGCTAAATTTGCCAGAGGTGAGAGATTTGATGGAGGAAGAATAAGAACTAAAGAATCGATTATCTGTAATGCAATTTTTTCGCAAGACAAAATTTTATTTTTTAGTAGATCAGGAAATTTTATGTAATCCAATTCTTGTAATATTTTATCGGCATTGAGTTTAGGTATACACAGCAGGAATATTTCTAGACAATCTAATTTTCCCAATGAATCCACTCTGAATATATTTGCAGTAATAAAATCAAAATAAATAATACCGGCATTCGGGTAACTTTTGCAAAGTGCAAGAATACACTTAATCAGCCTGTTTTTAAATGTCGTTTGCATTTGCCTTAATATACTTTGAATTTTTTCTATTATGCCGCTCCTTCTACTTGTTTGATCATTTTCATCATCCATGAACTTCATGATGAAACTGAAACATTCACAACACTGCAAAACTGTTTCTTCGTTATCCTGCCATCGTTCTAAAGACTTCTCCAAAAAGCCTATAATATCATTCCTTTGAACAATGTCTTTTATCATTCCATTAACAATACAAATTAATATTAAATATACTGCGCCTTCGGGCGCAGTCCTCATTCTATCATTCAAATTCATAGGCAGTTTCAAACAAGTCTGCCACATTTCAAGCATCGTTTTTATCAAGGTCATGTTATATTTATAAACAGTTTTGGAAATCTCATTGGCCTTCGGGATAGTTTTACCAATGATCATTTCCCATAACTTTTGTATCATAGCTTTGCCATTAGTTTCATCGGGAAAATTTACAACTTGCCATTCTATCAGCATCTCTATAACATCAGTAATAACATAATTTAACTGATTCAATTTTAAATACGAATACGTAGCGTGTATTATCGGTTGAAGGAATATTTTTTTGTAAGGCTTGAATACAGTTTGCATGTTCAAGACAATTTTCAGCATGAATAAACGGACATTGTCATAATTTGTCGACATCATAGAATTGCAAAAATATTTTAACCATAAAGGTATTACGATATCATCATCAGTAGGCGGTGTAGATATATCTTCCGATATCATATGACTTAAAACTCCGCAAATGGATTCCATACATTCGTGATTATTTAACTCGTCAATTTCAAATAATAGACTCATGCTTTCTTCTTTGTTGGTGTAGTTAGGCGTACTATGTACGACCATTTCGTTAAAATCGTAAGCGTTTATATCTTCATTTAAAGTACAAGTTGATAGGTCGTAACTATAAATGTACGAGTATCGTCCAGGATTCTGTTTCTGCTTCATGCTTTTTCTTATATTAATCAGCTTCTTACGATGCTTCGGATATTCCTTGAACGTCTGCTGAAGGTTGTATTTCTTCTGACAATCCACGATATTTTCCCAAATAAATTGTCCCTTATTCTTGTTCTCTAAAGTCACGCTTACATAAGATATTTCATCTTCTTTTAAAGCTACAATCGCTATGGAACAGTTATACGCAGAGCAGTGCAGCAATCTCATTATTTCCTTATGTTCTGCTTCAGAGGTTTTCAACATTCGCACGTTGAGTACGCTGCTGTATAAACTCTGTACGAATTCTTTTCCAGTTTTTACATCGTCGATAGCATTCCGTACAATAACACTCTCAGTATCATTTATTTCATTCATAGGTATCTTTGCAAATAATTTCGCAATCAGTTCGTAACACCCTATTTTTGATACTATAAGTTGTTTCATATCCGAATTGTTCCCAATAAGTCCTTGGTCAATAGTGGTATATATTTCTCTAATATTTTTCTCGAAGAATCGACGTATTTCAGTGATTCTGCAAAATTCAAATAACGGTAAAAGAAATGTGCGTAATATATCGAATCTCTCGTTGAGTTCTGCATTCAAGTTCATAAATAATTTGTACGCTGCTTCTATAGATTCCGAAGCGTATTCGGTAGTAATCGAAATACAATACTTTTGCAGATACTCGTTCGTGGTTTCATTGCACAAATGTTCGGCAATTCCAGCCGCGAATAGGATTACAGACTTGAATACTGCCATTGATTTGGTCACTGGCAACAACGTTAATAAAGTTTGGAAACAATTAATTATTTTTAAAGCTTTCACGTTTTTCTGTAAGAAATCGTTTGGGCACACCGCTGATTTACCGCTTTGTAGAGTGCTTAAAATAACAAACAATTCCGTATTAGACGTCATGCCAGTCAAGCAAATGAGAAAATTTTGGAGGATCTGAATTTTGTATTCTAGATCGGAATTTGTCGTCAGTTGACTGAGAATCCATGTATAGAAATCATTGTTCAGAGACACCGCTTCCGTTGGTTTCTCCTTTAAATGAACAGCAATTCCATAAATACTTATCAATTTTTGTTTCCTAGGTTTCAGATTATTCACAGCTCTTTCAAACATGGTAAATCTTTTGATGGCGGTGTCTACTAAAATCTCTGTATAGTTATGCAATTCTTTTTTACGTTGTTTTACAAACAGGAACAATTGCTCTGTTATTGTTAACAAAAGGGTCGGATTTTTTCGCAACACGTGATCGAATACTTGCATAGTCTTTTCCGTGTCTTTTAACATATATTGAAATATTTCATTTGCAAATATATTTAAAAAGTAGATTCCGTGCTCGACTTTTGTGAAGCCTTGTTCAAGCATTGTATTAGTTTCAATTAATTCAATTAGTGTTTTTGTCATTGATGGCTTATAATGCATAAGTAACAGTTCCATGAAGATCTGTAGGTAATCTTTCACTAATGGTTTAATATTTACACAAACAAGTTCTCCTATTTGTTCTTTTGCCAAGGCTTTGAAAATACGTGTAACTTTATCCTCCGGTTGTTCAATCAATTGCGTTGCGTTGGGTAGCTGATGAAGAATGTTATGTTGTTCTAGAAGGTTTAAACCCCGAATATAATGTTTCAGTTTACTACAGGTATCTGTATCAAACAAAATTTTGTCTAAATCAATGAAACTGTTTATATGTTTCTCCACATGTGCAGATAGTTCTTGTTTAACACGACACAATAACGAGTCATCTGGTTTCTTCATTATTGCTTGCAACAAATTTCCCATGACTAATGGAAGTGCTTCTGTGATTTCAAGATTTTTCATATCAAAGCCTATAACTTGTGGACACATTATGCATTTTGAAATTAATTGAAACAGATCTTGGGTAAAAAGAAAAGCTGGTATCAAATTATCATCAAAATTCAAAAGGATTTGTAAGCAATCAAACATAGTTATTATTAATTTACAACGTAACGTTTGTAAATCTTCAAGTTCTTTTGATAACATAATAAAATCATCTTCTTTTGTTTCTATTTTAATCTTATTCATAAGATGAATAAAATTCTTTGTACAATTGAAAATTACTTCTCTTTCCGAATTTGAACTTGCGAATAACAATTGTACATTTATAAGATTGTTCCGTATTAACCAAATGTAACAATCAAGACTTCTTAGAAGGGGTAGAATGTTATTACAAGAGAGGCTTTCCAGCTTTATATTTAAATCCTTCAATAGTATATGGTTGAAATGTTCGATTCCATAGATGTCGATATAATTATTTATCATTGTTTCTGCTGAGTCACAGTTTGTTATATGTTCAGAAAGTTTAAGAACCAATTCCATACATTTTGCTCTACAACATTGATCTATGCAGCCACACTGAATGAGCAACCAATGTATTGCATGCGTTAAAGTTGAACCCTCAAATTCGGGTGGCTTCTTACGAACGTGGTACTTTAAATTCAATAAATTGCGTTTTGCTATTAAAACTCGCTCAACATGATCGAGAGCAGTGATAATCGAAAGATTGTTGCAACCATCCAAACTTTTGACAAAGGAATATAAAATTTCCAACCAATATATGGACACGATTTCTTCATTTTCACGTAAGATAGTGTAAAGGTGATTGAAAGCTGTTGCAGCTGCTACTCGTTTAGACGTAGATGGGTGAAGCGCTAAATTTATCATTTTATATATGACGTCGCTAATGTTTTGCTGTATTTTCACATTGGTATTAGTCTGCTTTATGGACCACTTGGTAAATTCAGCCAAGCACATCCCAGAAAATTCTCTAACTGATGAATTGGAATCATCGCACAAACTTTCGAAAAGCGAATCTAAAAAGTTTGTAGTTGCCAAAGATTTAATCATAAATTCTGAACTAAGCCAATGGGTTAATTGCAGCACTAAAGGTTGAAAAATTTTTCTCGCTGCTTCATCGTGATCACAGCCTAAGCTAAATAGAGCTGGACATAATGTCATACACGTGGGAACAAATTTATCAGGATCAGATGAGAAATGTTGCGACATTTTGCCTAGAAGAAACGCTGTTACCGAATGAAGTGCTTCACAGGCAATTATTTTCGTTCTTCTGTCCCCAGAATGTTGAGCTAGTAAAATCAATCGTGATAGAATTTTATCAAAATAAATATTTACTTCCATGTTTGGCAAAGTGTATTTAAGTAAATCTTTCTTATCCCAAGTTGCTCCTATGTCCATAGATCTTTTGTATACAAAATTCTGTATTATATCGGTATCAAGAGAGGCAATGAATAACAAAACTTTCCTCTGAAATGTTTCTAATGTATTCTCATCATCTCTTTGCAATATGTGTTTAATAACTTTTGGTTTTGTTTTTATAATGTCTTGTAAGAATTCTACAGAGCTTTCTTCACTGTGCAAGTATGGTACTAGGAATGGTACAACTTCTCTTAGAAATTTATTTGTACGTTGATTGTCCAAATGGCTCGTCCATGATTTTAAAGCATTCAAAGCAGTACAAGCTACTTCAAAGTCGCTCAAACCAACAATGAAAGCAATTCTGAATACTGGAATTGTACTGTCAAATATGTACTCTATATACATTTTTGGTGTATCCAAAATTAACAACAAACACGTAGTTAATAATTCATTAGAAAATGAGGAAACTAAATTCAACACATTGATTAAGTACTTATATAATAGTTCGACTATATCTGTTTCGATTTCATCTTTTGTAAAGGTGGAAATATGTTTAAAAGTTGCATGTACTAACTTATAAAATCCTGATATTAAAGGATGTTTGTAAGACATACTGACTATTTTTAACAAGAATTTGTGTATAACGTTTGTTAACATTGAAGACTCTAATTTATTGATTATATCGACGTATAAATCTACGATGTTAACGAAGATTCTAAAATCTTCTTCATTATCAGCAATTTGAGAAAAGGCTGCATCCGAGTATACATTATCTTCTTTCGTTTTTGTATTCAAATTTAATTTACTAATTAATATGATGCATACGTGCATCGTTGCATCAACTACTTCTTGTGCAACTTCTCTGTGTTCTTTATACATGTTTGGTTTCAGAAGTTGTGTCCATAAAGGTAGATAATTTTTATAACACGTCGGGAGATCTTCAAGATTATTTAGTCCTCGTTGTAATTCCGCATCAACGAGTAAAGTATGCGAACAAGACCATATTATGCCTTCCTGAATTAAATTATAAAGAAATTCTTGTAGAAGGTTTCTACTGACTATCCCGACATTAATAATGGTATTTATTAACGATGTAATTGCAGGATTTCGACCAATTATAGGAAGGTCAGGAAACCTTTTAACCAAAAGAATGCTAAGCTTTAAGATCACATTAAGTTGGTTGATTGATAGGTCTGATGTGTGCAATATTATTTCAGACAGAGCTTCTTGATAATTACAAATACTTTCCAAGTGTGATTGTTGTAAGTCATCTCTAAAACAAAGTGGCATTGCACAATGAGTAATCAGAGTGAACATATCTGTCACATCTTTATTAGTGAGATACCGTTTACATGGTGCAGCCATTTGACTAAAGCCATACACAATCAAACGTAACATTTCCGAATTTGTTTGTTCATTATTATTTAGTTGCTTGTCAAAAATATTTTTGAAATACAAAAATACTGCTCTATCATCCTCTGAAGTTTTGTCAATTAAAGTTTTTCCAATTAATTGATAAAAGCTCATCAAAGCATGCTGTCCACATTTGCTACAGTCTACATTTTTTTCTTTAACAAGTTTTGTTAATAGTTCATACCAGTACTCATGATCGCGATAAACAAAATCACGAAACAGAACAATATGATGAGATAATAAATAAACTGCTGATCTCAATGTAACCTTCTTAATGTTATACTTCTCAGGACGACTTAGATCTTTGATCCATTTATATAATTCTTCATGGTACTTTTCTTTCTCTTCGCTTGAGAGTACATCCAATATATTTGAATAAGTATCAAAATATATTTGAAATATGTCATTTGATTGAGATGAATTGTACTGCAAATTCAAAATTCAAAATTCAAAATTCAAAATTTGTACATTACAAATATTAATTAAGTACTGTACCTGCTTTTTAAAGTCATTGTGTAGTTGTTGAAAAATCATATTAGAATATTCCTGTATTTCTGGAATATCTGGGTTGTGCTGTGCGATTTTTCCAAGTATAGATAATAACAAACTTCTCTCTACGATTAGTTAAGAAAGCCTTCGTATTAAGTTATACATAAAACAAGTGTAAGTTATAATACCTTTAATATCCATTAAATGAAACAAAGACACAAATTTTGTTATGGTTTCATCTAATTCAGTTTCATATTCTTTAAATAATTCTATCAATTTACTGAAGGCGCTACATGCAGCTTTTTGAATAAATGATGTGCATCGTGTTACAAGTGCCTGCTGACATGTGTTCTATAATCAAATAAAGTTATAATTAATTACTGTTTTTATTAATTGCATTACTTAAAATGTATTAAGTAGTGTTTGTGTAAATTATAAACCAATACCTTGGCATCAATAATATAGGGCTCAAATATATCAGAAAATTGACACATGATGAATTCAAGAAGATCGAATGCCTCTTTAATTGCTCTATCAAAACCTTTTTGAGGTATAGATCTTCCCAGTTCATTATTAATAAAACATAATAAACCTTTCTCTTTATTGAACAATATAGATAACACCAATTCTAATGAAAAAGCACCAAACATTAAATATAAATGACAAAATGTATTTTCTTTATAAATTTAATCGAAAATGTAATATAATAGACACAATATCGTAACATAATATCGCAAAATAGAAAATAATATTTATTTTCCCATCAACACGTACCGCTATCGGTTTTCGATATATGTTGAAAATACGTTCTATTTTTTAAAGTTTCTGTAAGATAACTGCTGTTTCTTTCTTTTATAGTCCGTTCGAAAATATCCATAAACGTTTCAAACGAATCCATGTTTCGCCGACAATAAAATTAGATACAAACACCTGTATACGTTTGGTTAAATCTTAACTTTTACTTATTCATTTGATAGTATAAAACCAGTCAAGAGCTATGGGTTAACTCGAGAACATTGACCGACACCTACAATAAAAATGATTAAAATAAAAGATAACAATTATTTGATAATTCGTTGACTAACTGTTGTGTGTCATTTAGCAGCGAATGGTACTGTCATAAAAGTTATTAGAGTTATCCTTGCCATCCCGTTCAATTGTAACTACAAACAAACATAGCTAAAATAATGTGCGTTTTTAAAATGGAAAGTGCAGTCATCTTGTAGTGAATAGGTCGAATTAAATTTTAATCCCATGGTTAGTAGTGATTCGGTTTTACCGGTAAAATATATTTTTTACTTATTTTACCTACTCACAGCTGGTAAATTACCGGACAATTAACCATAAGAGTTTTTAAAACTATTTACCGATTCCATAAAGAACTACCGAATTTATAATTGTAACAGAGGTTACATTTTACAGAGAATTTTGTAATACAACAAAATTAATTAAAACAAAAACTTCTAAATTAATTAGTTTAAAAATTAATTTTAATTGATCAAAATAATTTTAACAGTTTATTGTCTGTTAACAAAAGTATTTGGTTAATCGTCTTGTAGAAATATATTTTACCAATTAATTAACCAAATACTTTACCGATAAATAATCGGACAATTGTCCGGACAGTAGTACAGAGTAGTAAAAGAGAATATTACATGGATCTATACAGGGTGTCTCAAAAATGTTGTAACACCTTGGAAGAGGTGGTTCGGGAGCAGACGCAGTAGATTTGAAACAACTTTTTCCTTAGCGAAAATGTTGTCCGAGGCTTCGTTGAGGAGATATTAAAGGAAAACACTGACCAATCAGAGCGCGCGTATACCGTTGGAGCGGCCGCGTAGCGAAGGCTACGAGCTAAGCAGCCGCGCTGGTACGCGAACAAGTGACTCGACGTGCATCGAAGGACATTGACACGGCCGCTTAGCTCATAGTCTTCGCTACTGCGGCTGCTCCAACGGTATACGCGCGCTCTGATTGGTCAGTGTTTTCCTTTAATATCTCCTCAACGAAGCCTCGGACAACATTTTCGCTAAGGAAAAAGTTGTTTCAAATCACCTCCCGAACCATCCATTTCAAGGTGTTACAACATTTTTGAAACACCCTGTATAGTTTCTTAAACAAATTATTTATAATTACTATAAAACTACAGAACAAATTACTAAATTTAGAAATGAGATAACACATTACGTTAATGTAAATTCTAATTTTGTTTATAGAGTGCATTAATATATAAAACACTTGTTAATTTATAGGGTTCATTACTTGTCATTAATTGTATTAATAGACTTTAATTACATTGATGTTAATAGAGGTCATTAATTTATAGAATGCATTAATTGTCATTAATTGTATTAATATACAAAGTGCAGCTAATTACATTAATTTACAGACGTTAATAGAGCACACATTAATTTATAAAGTATATCTATGTGATGGTCTATGGAATTAATCTTTACTATCCATTAGACATCTTATCCACTCATCTATTACATGTGTACATGTATATAATATAAAATAAATATGTATAATTGAACTAATCGTATTGTGAGTTCAGTTTAAGTGACTAAGGAATTTGACATAATTTTGTATAATTTGGGTCTAAACAATGTACGGGTTTCTATACTGTACCTCGTTTCTCGTACGCAGACGCAGTAGATATTGATCTACATTCGTGAATATACTGGCTCTTTCATTAAACCTTTATAACTTACCGCTAAACTTATGTACATGTATATATAATTCTTAACATTAAAAGTTCAGGAACACAAGTAAACAAATTAATTAATTTTTCGATTAATGATGTTAAGTGTACTGTTATTAAAGTACTCTTTCAAGTCCACATACATCAAAGTATATTAAAGCATACTTTTAAAGTACACAGTATTTTTAATCAAAATTATACTCTGTATAGTTATTAAACAAATACGTACTTTAACAGGGATCTCTAAAATATTCACAACAATTGTAATACAAACTTAAACATTTAAAACTACAAAAGAATCAGTTTAACCGTTTGTTAAATTAATAATTATTCAAAGTAAAATATCACACTAGACAGAATTACTGTGTAGCAATTAATGTAATATATAAATGAAAATATAATATAAAATATAAATAAAAGAAATTAACAAGATTAAGTATTGAAAATGAAATGAAAAATCTTCATATGAGTATTTAATACTGCGTCGATAAAATAAGAACTAATTGTCTGATTATTTTGATTAGGATTGATTCTTTGTTAAAATAATTCTTTTATTTATGACTGACATTCAACATTCTTAATTAATCTTGAACCAGAGATCATCGTATTCATCCTGGAAGTCTTTGTCCTTTTCATATGTTTTGTCGAATATGATAGCTTTTAATGGAAATTAAAAATTGTTACATTTCTCGTTATACCTCCATGACATTATTATCAACAAGCTAGTGAGATTTTTCCAATAAAAATAAGCCCAAGTATAATCTCATTCGATCTATTTTAGTTGTACGTAATTGAAAGTTTTGCAAAAATGATTTAAATAGACGGTAATTAAAAGAAATGTGGTTAATTTTAAGATTAAGGAAGTATACCTAAAATAAGTATAATGAAAACAAGTTTTTCAATTCGTACGCTTTATAATGGAACATTAATTTCGCGAAACACTATATTGATTACTGTATGCGTATGCGTGTGCGTATGTATAAAAGTGGGTGGTCATCTATTGTTTCTATTTTAAATGCGTATATAAGTTGTCTGAGGAAATAAACTCGACAAAATAATGTGCGATGATGAAGATAAATCTAAATTAATAGTAAGCGAAAATAAGCGAATAAAGGTGATGTATTTTGGCTAAAAAGACACATACAAAATTGTTCTCAATAGAACGCTTTATGTAACTGTGTATTGTTACAAGTTGGCAGGACATATAAATGTTATTCGTGTATAATTAAACAATTGATTACGAGTCATTTGACGTAATCATTGAACAAATATTTACTTTAACGTGCATTTTTAGAATAGCCACGACAATTGTAATACGAATATAATTGTTAAAAATCTAAATTAAAATAGAACTCGACAAATTCGGTATTAAGAATGAAATTGAAACAATTAACAGAATGTTTCGAAAATGCATTCAAAGTCAAACTTAAATACAAAGTTATATTTTATGTTATTTGCTTATTGTTATAAGGAGGATTATTTAAATGGACATTATTATTGAATATTTATCTGTTTATTGGAAAACGTTAAGTTGACAGAGAGTTGTACTTAATTTAGAATACATGCCGAGAAAACTTAATTAAGTATTTACAAAGCACGATATTCACATTCGAAAAACAAAGTAGTTACGATTGGACATTAAACATTTAATCCATAACTGAGTAACTAGATTTAGAATATATTAAATTTTTGGAAAGAAACTTAATTAAGTATTTACAAAATACAATATTCATGTTTATAAAATAAAGCAATTACGATGGAACTATAATGATCTAATTCATAAGCCGAGTAAGTAGACTTAAAATACATTAAGTTCTTGTAAGGAAACTTAATTGAGTATTTATAAGGTACAACATTTACGTTGAAAAGTAGAATAATTACGGTGGAAGATTCATGATCTAATATTCATACCAGAGTAAGTAAAGAGGGAAAGACTATAAAGAAACGGGTAGAATCGCGCAGCATCAGAATCGCGCAGGCTTCGTTCTTGCAGCATCATCGGGGACAATCTTCATAGCAGTACCAAAAATTCTCACGGTGTAAATGGAAGCTCAGAATTAGTATCGTGGTGTACAATCACTACAGGAACCTGTGATAAAGTTCTCCTATTTTCTGTATCCCTTGTTCTTCTTTTTTTTCTTCTATTTATTGGTTGTGGTTAAGTGAGTGTGTGAATAAATATCTCAGCGCAATGCAATGAGATAAAAATTGGAATACGATTGGAAATAAAATAAACTTCGACCATAGTCTTCAGCTGTCTGCTCTCATAATTCAACAGGATCCTAGGATAATCGAACTCTTCGATGGCAGACCACGATAATACCTACGATGACGAGGTAATTTACCAATTTATTTCTTGTTTTTATTGAATATTCTTTGTTTCAAAATGATGGTCGAAAATATGAAGCTCTTTAATGTGAATCATTGAGAAATTATCTTAGGACTATTATAACGCGGTAGTCGATGGTTTTATAAATTAAACGGGTGTACAGTGGACAACTTTAATATTCAAACACTTTCAGATTTTTATTTTGCTTATAACTTTGTTTAGGGTGAAGGATAAAGTAATTAAGACGCGTATAGTATTCAAACATTGAATTTAGTGAATAAAAGAAATTTTATTTATATATCAGGTGTAGGAATTAGTCTGTGACTCTTTAAAGTAATCTTAGCATTTATTTATTTAAAGAAAATCATATTTATGATACAAACGAATATGACAAATGTATGCTATACATAACCAGAAGGCAAATACGTCTATGCAAATCGAAATATTAATATTACTCAATTAATTAATACAACATATTCTACATGTATTATGTATATTTTTCGTTTGTTTTTTATATTAGTGGACGTCATAAATTAGAGTTATGAATAGAAACAAATAATAGAAAAATAATTTCTACATGTAACAATTGCCAAGTACATTTGTAACCTGTTAGAAGAACAACAATAAGTAAATTTCGTGGACTACTGAACTTCGAATACATAAATAAGTTGTAATGACTATATATATATATGACTGTATATAGATTCATTATAATGGAAATCAGATTGAGAACGGTAATTTAACGTAACAAAATATTGAATACATACTTTGAGTTAAAGTACAGTTGTAAACGATTGAATATAAAGGCACGGAATTAATTTGTACACGTACACGATGTTTCTTATAAAATGAATTTCGAACAAAACGATGTGTAATTTCGATGTCACTTTAATATTCAGACAATTACAAGAATTATTAGTTAAATGTCAGGTCATCGTAAATAAAAACTATTTTAATATTTTATTGGGTATTCTTTTCAACGAATAATTTCTTTGAAACGTTGACGTATATCGGTGATAATTTAAATAAATATTCAGCTCCGATATTTATTTAAATTACTCCATTTCTCTTTTAGTGATTGTTTCAGCATTTCCTTTGACGTTATTTTTGTTTTCATAATTTGACTGTCTAATTCATCCTATAAATATTCAATAGGTTTTGACAATCTCGTTGACATGTGATTTTTTACGAGCAACTGGTCTATTGTAGACATATTCTTTACGAGTTCTGTGAATTGTTTGTGGATGAACTGATTTACCATATTCATGGAACAACTCGTTAGCTATTTTTGACGCCCCAATATGTACGATTTGCGTTTATTTATTATAGAAATTTACACTTATTTTGACTATCCAGGGCCCTCGATTGGCCTTTTTAAAATAACTTTCAAAGAACTTTATAAATAACTTTCTAAAATTGACTTGGCCTTAATAAAACAATATCTGGTACAGCACTCTCACTTGTATAAAATAAAGTCACAATTTCTCGATAGCTGTTGCTATTTTTTATATTAAAACTGGTAAACTGACGTCAAATTAAATATTTTTACTCTTACGTCTTATTTTCACAAATCAGTGAAATTTTACTAATTTACGAATCGACACAAAATTAGTTACATAGGATATATCTTTGATACTGTCTTTACAAATAGAACAGACATTGTAATTAGTTCATATTACAAAGCTGGTAAAATAGGGAGACTGTGATCAATAGAAAGAAGTAAAATAACTCAAAAATAATTAATCTATTACTTTTCTTGGCACGCAAAATGTTTTCTAACTGTTCTCATTTTCTTTATTAATCCAAAACTATTGCTCCTTTTTTTGTAACTAATTTTTCAATTGACTCAGGCACGATGTCTTTTCAAACGTGTGTCGAGGTAAAAATGTCTAACTATAATATTTGATTACTACTTCTACGTGGTATGTAATATATATGTTATATGTTTTTATGATTTGTACACCATGTAATGTACACAAAAGTTCTTCCTTACGTAAAAATAACGAGCAATATACATTATCATCTATCTACTACTATTTCTACTTTATCAAAGTAATTGTACAGTCCAAACAATAATACTCTTTTAATACCAAATATTCTGGATATAATTTAAGCGACTTACCAAACAGACAGAGTATAAAATGAAGTCATAGCAAGATATTTGATCAAAAAACTTTCGAATTTACGCCAGTCTCCCCTTACTATATACCAAAGTGTCCGAATATTAAAGTAACGTCAAAAATTAGATATTGTAACACGCACACCTAGTTTTAAATACATTTCTTGTGAATGTTTCGCGTAAAGATAAGTTCTCATATTCTTAAGAAGGAAGTTCAGTTGAGGACGCTGAAAATGAGGCATTCTTTAAGAATTGTTTAAAAATAATGTATCAAGCGTATCTTTATGAAACTTACAGGGTCTTTTATTGGATCTTTAGCGATGATAAATAATTTTGTTTAGTACAAGATTATACGTGGAATTTTTTAGAAATGCGTAGAAGAGTGCCTCAGATTCAACCGGGCTCACCCCTTAAGAATACGTTGCTGTGATGCCAGCGTTGTGTACAGCTTACACGCGGCGTCTAAATAGGGGTAGCGTTGAGTTTGTAAGTCAGTCGAGTAGGCGCAGCGACACGTTGTGCATCGACTGGATGGTCAGGTGAGACTCTTCACCTTTTTGTCTCAGAGCCATTTCGCTACAGAATATACAAACATGAATCATGTCGTATGAAAGAGGGCAACTACATTAAGAGTTCAAGAGTTAAATGTTTTTCGGGATATTTTTATTTAAAGACAAGAATTTACATAAGGTTTCATTAACTTTGAGAATATTTTAGGTACGCTTTAAAGTATATTTGATCATTTTTACAATACATTTTACATAGGAATTTTTGAGATATCGCATTTTTTTCGAAACCATATTTCTCACAATCTGTGGAAACGATAATACAAAAACTAATCGACTAGTTTTCAAACATTACATACGTTTACTTTATTTACATGCCTTGAGTATAAGGTGAAAAGTGGGAAGTGACATACCTGGACGAATGCTAAAGTTTAGTTTTAAATGAACGGGCGAAGTGTAAAGACAAGTGATAGTCAAACTGCAACGAACAGCGAAACCGTTATTTTAAGTTTATATCTATACTGACAAAAATTTATCGATAATACTACAATAGTCATTGTGCAATCGAGTACGTCGTTACGTCGAGATGATAACCAAACCTTCAAACAAGCTATCAATAGTTGCCGCCTAATAGGGGCATCGCTGCACCTATGAGATGGCAACCGAACCGACAAATCGGCTAGCATAGGTTGCCGCATGAAAGGGGCATCCCTGCACCTATGAGATGGCAACCAAACCGACAAACCGGCTAGCGTAGGTTGTCGCATGAAAGGGGCATCCTTGCGTCTACTTGATGACATCTAACATTTCGTTCACTTATCGTTCAGGGTGCGTCAATCACCAGTAACTGACAGTAACTTTTTGCTAACTTTTCTATCAGACAGCGTTAGTCACCAATGGCTTACCACTAACATTTCCGATCACTAACCTTTCGTTCACATTTGGAAAACTCCTAACACCTGCTAACACCTTATAATACCTTTTAATATCTCCTAACAAATCCGAACAACTCCAAATGCGTTCTAACAACATCTTACATCTCCTAATACTTTCTGACGTTTCCTGATACCTCTCAACACCTTCTAACACTTCCTGACACCTCCTAACAAACTCTTATATCTCCTAAATTCTTCTAACATCTCCTAACAACTCATAGCAACTCCTAACAATTACTGACATATCCTAACACCTCCTAACACTTTCTAACACTTCCTGACACCTCCTAGCAAACTCTGACATCTCCTAAATTCTCCTAATATCTCCTAACAAATCCTAACAATTACTAACATATCCTGACACCTCCTAAAACCATCATACATCTACTAACACCTACGGACGCTGATACAATAAGGTAAGTTTCAAGATAAAATTAAAAATTGACCCACATCATCGAAACTCATGTTCTTCTGATACCAGGAGTAAAAATCCGACATTTCCCATCCCAATTTCGAGCGGGGCCATTTGCAACATTGTTGAAGTTGTCGCTGCTCAAAATTCTACAAAGGTGCAAATTGATTAATTCAAACGTACAACAATGTTGCCAAGTCGAGTCGATTTTTCGGATTTTGTCACATTTTGCCGAACTTCTGAGTTGCCACTTTGTTGTACTTTTGAGCCCCTGCAACTTTGTTGCAATTTTGAGCGGTGTAACTTACAAACGTTGCCACATTGTTGCAAATCGCTCCCCACAGAATCCAACAAAGTTGCAAGTTCAACAATGTTGCAAATCGCTCGATGTTGAACTTGCAACTTTGTTAAACGCTACGCGGGAGCGATTTTGCAACTTTGTTAAACTTGCAACTTTGTTGAATTCCGCGGGGAGCTATTTGCAACTTTGTTGAGTTCCGCGGGGAGCGATTTGCAACGTTGTTGAACTTGCAACTTTGTTGAATTCCGCGGGGAGCGATTGGCAATTTTGTTGAACTTGCAACCTTGTTAAACTTCCGCAGAGAGCGAATTGCAACATTGTTGAATTCCGCGGGGAGCGATTTGCAACTTTGTCGAACGCCCGCGGGAGCGATTTGTAACTTTGTTAAACTTGCAACTTTGTTGAACGCCCGCGGGGGGAGCGATTGGCAATTTTGTTGAACTTGCAACCTTGTTGAACTTCCGCAGAGAGCGAATTGCAACATTGTTAAACCAGGAAATATCACAGATGTGAGGGGAAATTAAAGGGAAATATCACAGAAATGAGGGGCAATTATAGGGAAGTGTACCAGGAAGTAAAGGGAAACATACCAGGAAATGGAGGAATATTAAAGGGAAATGAAAATTTCCACGATGTTGTATATTACGTCATTTTTCATGAGTTATTAGGAGATGTTAAAATATGTTAGAAGGCGTTAAGAGGTGTTAGTTGATACGTACCGGATTTCCTTCGTGCCACCTCTTCTTGTATCATGTTCTCCTGATACCAGGAGTAAAATTTGACCAGAATTTGATACGTACCATGTAATATCCTTTTGCCACCTTTTTGCTTATCATGTTGTCCTGATACCAGGAGTAAAAATCCGATCAGAATTTCATACGTACCATGTAATTCTCGCGCCACCTCTTTGAATATCATGTTCTCCTGATACTAAGATGTAAAATTTGGCCAGAATTTTGATACTTACCGCGTATTCCGCGTGTTACCTCTTTGCGTATTATGTTCTGATACGTGATGGTGATGAGTGAGAAGGTGACACGAATCACATTCGGCGTCAATAGGTGGTAGGAGATGTTAGAAGGTGTTAGGAGGTGTCTGATGTTAGCCAGTGTGTAAGCCCGGTTGCTACATCGTTGGCGCAGAGGTGCCCCTTTTATGCGACAACGTGTGCTAGCGGTTGCCGTCTTGTAGGTACAGAGGTGCCCTCGTTATGCGGCAACCACCGGTAGCTTGCTTAATAGTCCGATTGTTATCTCGACATTGTCGCGTACTCGATTGCACAACAACTATATAAAGATCGAAATTATAAATCATTTAAAAAGAAAGATATTAAACAAATGATTGATCCTGTCGTTACTAAGATATAATTTATTAAAATCTGTAACTGGACGTAGAAAAGTGGCGCAGTATCAGACAACGTTGTCACCACAATCATGTCTTGAGTATTACGAATGTATGTGTAGATATACGTATTGACAAATTGATATATTATGGATATGTGAAAAGAGCAAGGCTGTACTTTGGCAAAAGTTTTCAATTGACAATTTTCGACTTTTGAACATGAATATTTCGAAACAACTACCTTCAATATTTGTAAATGAAATTTATCTGTCAGTGGCATTAGTGAGTATCTTTGTGACAGGAGCTAGTGTCAGCGAACCCGAATCAAAGGAACTGGCGTGGAATTTTGATAGCTCTACTCGTAATTGTTGCGGTCCTAGCTTTGATTGTGACATCGGTTGCCCTACTGACACCACCGGACGAGGGTCCTAGAGTGCGAGGTACCCGATTACGACTCTCCGAGGTATGTAACAGAATTTATGAGTACGTCATTCAAATTGCTACACATTCGTATTTAGTTCGCAGCATGCCTTAAGGGAGCCGTTCATAATCCAAATCGACTATCTCCACTAAAATTCCTTAATAATTAGCTATAAGATCATTTCTTTCTTCGAAAGACATCACCGACCACGGATAGTGTAAGATTCCCTGCACTCACTGTTGGACAAAACCCTGGGCTTCGAATAAATCTGAAGTTTGCCGATACGTTTGTCTCATTCCTTTCTTTAAAAAGTGTACAATAGAGGAAGCGAGACAAACGTATCGGCAAACTTTAGATTAATTCGAAGCCTAAGGTTTTATCCATCACTACCTGTATTGGCTATACTGTACTGTAGCCTATCCATTAAACTCCCTACAGTGGACTACAGACAGTCTACGTTAGGGATTGGTGCACCGTCAAACATTCAAGTTATATTTGATTAGTAAAGTTGTAGACTAAGTGAATTACACAAAGTGTCGAAGGAAACATGTGATACAGGCCTGTTACATTTTTATAACTATCTCATACATGAAAATTAAATTATACTCTTTCACCAAGCCTTATATCGTCCTACAGTTTCATTATTATAAACATTTAACTGCGTTATGGTTCCACCGAGGAACCACGTTAAGGAAGACGTAGTAAGCAAATAACTCCATCGTGACGTGATCACGATCAACGTCAGAATAGTACGCCGATGGGCAAAAGGCTCGGTCGCAATTCTATTCACAAGATCGGAAACTTCAAAGATCTGGACACGGAACCCGACAGAGAAGCCTGCCAATAGAGACCTTAGCGGGTGAGACTTCCAAGTTGGCTATCTCAGTTCAGGAAATAGACTTCACGTATGGGATCACAGGATCTGACAAAGCCAACTAATTTCTGAAAATTGGAGCTGAAAACGATACGACAGAAGAGTGCCTATGAATCACAACGACACCCGCAGCGTCAATACTTATAGTTCTCAGTCGCAGCTGAAGCCTCAAGATCGGAAATTTCAAGAGCCTGGACGTGGAAAATAAACACAGAAGTTTCACAATAGGAACGTCAGTGGCTGAGAACTTTCAAGCTGGCTTTCTCAGATCAAAGACTTCGTTTTGGACGCGACGCGATTCTAAATGATAACGCGTGGTCGACAGCGCGGTCGATAGGGGGAAACCCCCTCCGGAGCTGCAAATTCTTAATTACCATTACGTAATGATTACTTTCACCAAGTAATTAAATAATTGCCATTACAATTACTTTGTCGCGTGTAATGGTATTTGCAATTACTTAACTACTACCAGTAATCCAATTACTTTTTAATAACTACTTGTAACTGCCCAAAAAGTAATTAAAAGGCGTCTCAAATCTAAAGTAGTTAAAAATACCTAAAAGTAATTAGAAGGTAACTACTTTTTTAATTACTTCCAAGTAATTGCAGTTACATGGACAGTAATTGTTAAAAGTAATGATAACTGTCTTCGAATTACTTTTAACTAATCTTAACAAATCTTGATACATTACAGTCAGTGTAATAAGTATTCCTACAGCAATCAATTTAAAATGAATGGTTCCTGTACTAATACTTATTACACTGACTGTATGTACACAGGAAGGTACAAAGTATAGCGTTGTGCACGACTCAATTGGAAAAAAGTAATGTTTACGATGTCCAGTAGGACTACGAATATTTTTCAATACTATGCCATTTATACTAATGCATTGCTATTTTTTAATTCATGATAGAAATATCTATCATCTGCGATGCTGTAGCCCCTGGTCAGCCTATTTCTTAGCTTCTTAGTATTCACCCCTCCCCCCCCCCCCGTGAAAAGATCTGCGCATTTCAGTAAACAAAGAAGAAGAAATTATTTTACTAAAGTGTTACAAACGCATATCTCAATAACTATTGATGATACGAAAACATTGTTTAGACGTAAATTGCAGGATACAATGGGCTCTCTATCGTGGCACAAACGAAATTTTTGTTATGTTATTAATTTAAGAGATATGATGGTGAAGTTTCTGTTTTTTAATGGAACTATGTATACAGTTTTTTGGGGATCATGCGATAGTACTTTTCAAGATGAATTTATCGAGGCTTAATGTATTTACCCGATTTTTATTAGTTTTCAAGCTAGAACGCTTTGGAACTTACTGATTTTCAGTGGAAAAGTCTCGTTTTGAGTGACAAGTCATAAAAGCGGCCCTACGCGGTCACCGAAACCAAAACTTTTCCACTGAAAATCAGTAAATTTCGAAGCGTTATATCTCGAAAACTAATAAAAATCGGGTGAATACATTACAGCTCAATGAATTCGTTTTGAAAAGCACTATCGCATGATCTCCAAAAAAAAATATATAGTTCCATTTAAAAAACGAAACGTTACCATCATATCTCTTAAATTAATAACGTAACAAAAATTTCGTTTACACCACGATAGAGAGCCCATTGTATCCTGCAATTTACGTATAAACAATTATGTCATATCATCAATAGTTATTGAGATACGCGTTTGTAACACTTTACCGTGGACACCCTGTATATACGTACATGACATAAATAGTATATCAATAGTTGTTTATAAGATTTTGTAGCGAAACCTACCTACATTATTCAATTATTTGTTTCTCTCAGGTCTAATATTATAAATAACACATACAATGTGTCACAATCGGTCATAGAATATAATATAATTATAGCAATTGTTGTTGATTTGTCATCCAGCTCTGCTAATACCAGTTAAACTTCAAAACACTCGAGTGTTACGTAATACAATATAATTATTTCATAATGTTATAAACTTGCATGTAACTGTCACTTGAAAGTACAAGTTTACACAGCCTACTGATAGACTTCAAGTTGTGTAGCGTTACGTCGATGATTACGGCAAATAAAACGCGACTTGTGTCGCCGTGTGTACGAAAGTGTCTAGGGATATTGCAATTGGAAAACACCCATATTTGGCGATTCTACGTTAGGCAAACATTACTTAAGCCCTAGAAACCGGTCAGTGGGGAGCTGCCGGGTTATAAAACATACTGTTTCATATTTATTTAACAAGCTCTTCTCTTCAAATTCGACATGAACAGTTCAACTGTCTTCGTGGCGCGCGCTTTCTCGCTTTCTCTCTTCTTCCGCTTTTTTACTATTCCACTTATCAGGCACTCGAATCTCGTTCACAGTATCATCGTATGTGCCCATTATCTTTCACACGAATTTGCTCTCCTTCTCATTCTTTCTCTCGATTATATTCTCCTCTATACATACATATCGAATACTTTGATCACCAACGTTATCATTTCATAGGAATTATTGGTAAGGAACCCTTAGCAAGTAATTTTAGACTGTTTTAATATGAGATGAATAAATTTTCAGATACTTTCCGGAGAATTAGTACCTCTTCTCTTCAATGGATCATGGGCAAGCGAACAACACATTTGCTATAGAGATGCTTGGGGTGGCATTTCTCTCTTACACGTTTCACAAAGAAATGTTACGTCCCGCAGTTTAATGCCTAACGAAACTTTTGTAAGTGCATGATAATCGTTCAAATATTTTTTAATATCGTATTTGATGATAAATTAAATAAGCTAATATTATAGAATTATTTAATCGATCGGACGCGCGTTTAACTTCACGATTGTCTTATTATAAAGCATCTTGATGATCGGAATGTCTTTGTTTATTTACACTAGGGTCTTTATTTCAACGATTATTAAAATCTGTGTTATGCTCCCTCTAAATACATAAAAAAAAATTCCTGCAAAATTTGAACGCTTAATTTCGAGATTAACGCGTGTCTAAAACCTTTGAAAGTTTTAAATTGAGAATACATGCAATTTCTTTAATCGGCTACTTTTGTTTATATCTTCAGTAAAAATTAATGAAATGATTTGAATTTTGGCATGGCAATTACTTATAGTAATTAGAAACAAGCCCTACAAAACCTCAAATTTTTTTATTACTCAACTATTCTATTATTTAACTATTTCTATTACTTAAAACATTCTAGTAATATTATTTTAAAAGTTTTAAATTTGAACTTATTTATTATTTTTTTTATAAAAGTTCCATAAACAAAAATTCTTTAATTGTTCTCATTAAAGAAGATTTTTATCTTTTGTAAATTCTCCACGGAAATCTTCCATTTAAAACATTCAAAATAATAGTTTCGTACATATTTACTGGGTTGATATATAAGGAAATAATTAAGGTAAAAGTCTGGAATTATTAGGAAGTGTTCCTATTATTATAAGTCTGATTCCATTCTAGTCCTACTATTATAGTCTGTCAAATTTCAAATCATTTAATCAATTTTTATCGGAGTTATAAGAAAAAGTAAACGATTACAAAATTGCATCTATTTTCCGTTTAAAACTTTCGAAGGTTTGAGGCACGTATTAATGCTCAAATTAAGAGTTCGAATTTTGCAGACATTTTTTTTACGTACTTGCAAGGTATTCAAAGGGCGCATAACGTAGATTTCAAAACTCGTTGAAATAAGGACCACTCTGATTTACACACATGACTTCTAACAAAACGCAACATTAAGAAGTATTTTTTCATTTAGAGGAGACTGAATCCTGCCAAGTTCTCGTTGTCACCGGATCGTAAATACTTACTTCTAGCACATAATGTGAAGAAACTCTTCCGATACTCGTATTTAGCGCAATATACAATCTATGATGTGAACACACGGTTAGTAAAAACATTTTGTAAAGTACTTTTTTAATTCAATTTACATAGTGTAGAGGATTGTCGGAAATACAGTAGAGTTCCGATTACGGGAAGTTATAAGTAGATGATTTACGAAAAAGAAAAGAAAAGAAACAAATGAAATCAATTTGATAATATAAACCTTTTTTTTGTTCGTAATAAAATAAGATATCACTAATCGAATTTTTGATTAGTTCCGATGAGATAAACACTACGATAAAGAGAATCTTTTCTCTGTACTACATGTTTCAATATTCCAAGATCGTCAACATTATATTAATTACAACATTACAAAATACGTTTTATCACAATAGTCTCAGGAAATGCCTATGTATATATTCCCGTATCGAGACTGTTATTATTCGTTTGAGTTTCGTGGGAAGCAGAAGAGACAGAGGGAAATGGAAAAAGAAAACGAAGGTTATTGTTTCGTACTTGTCCCATGAGTTCTTGATATACCGACGGATTTTCAAACGGTCTAGGGCGTACCAAACACCGCAAGGAATAGTTCAGCATTAGCATCGAATAGTTCTAAGCTCAGATCTTTCTTAAACACAGGGAAATGGTACAAGGGATTGCATTTGGAAATTTGTGCACGCACGAACTTACGCACACGTTTTGTGACGTTGGGGGAAAGATTGTGAATTTCGCCAGTACGCACGCGAACAACCGGGCCCTTACGGTGTGATGACAACACTAAAGTGTGGCAACCATCTTTGGACGCCTTGACCCACAAGGATAGATTTCCATCCCGGAAGTTCAGAAAGCTTCTGGAGTTCATGGAGCTTTGGGGTTGTGTAGATCATACGTAGGTATGTAATATGCAAATTGTGTTTGCTGCCAAAATTCATTTGAAGGAGACGAAACTAACCCCTGAAAATTCTGCAACTGTTCGATTCCACTTTTAATTCGCAAAATGTTTGCGTTAGGACAAACTTTCCAGACAAAAGTTGCTTATTTTAATTAGATCTAGTCAACAGTAGAAGATACGTATGAAAGATAATTATGAATCAGCATGGTCCATTATTTAAATTCAAATAGTAGATGTAGAAATTAATTCAGTGCCTTTATATTCAATCGATAAGTATTTATTTATTATTCATATTTTGTTCTGTCTAGTTTAAATAAAAATATTTACTTGGTATCTTGCTGTATTAATTAAGCGCGTTTACGAGTAGATGATCTTTAGAAGACTACCATTCAAAAACTACATTTCGTATTCCACATTTCGGATCCGGCCTTGACATTTCAGTATGTTATTTTAGAGGCTATAAACTATTAAACAATGCAAAAACATAATCGAATTTCCAACAATTTTACACTGGTGATCCCCCTTAAAGTACCAACCTTCTAAGTTCTCAACCTGATGCCCATTACAATTCATCTGTACACAGGTTAAACCACATTTTTCACAAATTGGTTTGTGATACTGCAGTTAGGAAATTTGCAAGGCATCTTTTCGATCCAAAGTGGCACGAGTACATCCTCGTTGTTGCTAGCTAATCACGAAATTCAAATTGACAGAAGTCTATGGATTATCTGTGATTTAATGTACGTATTAATTTGTCCAATAGTGTGTTATCATAATATTACATCAACTTGAATGAACCTAAGTATGAAGTATACTTAGTCCATCGTTTCGATTGCGAGATTTGTTACAGAATTGTCACATGGGTATACAAAAGGTTAAATATTCTGGTATCTATGTAAGTCCTGCTAGGAATTGTTACTGATGAGTTCACTTGCAACAGAACGAAGGTGCAGCACTCTCCTCTTCCTAGGTTCCTTTCTCTGTCTCTCTTCCGTCCACCTATCGATTTCGAGATTTGTTACAGAATTGTCGCATGGGTCTACAAAAGGTTAAATATTCTGGTATCTATGTAAGTCCTGCTAGGAATTGTTACTGATGGGTTCACTTGCAACAGAACGAAGGTGCAGTACTCTCCTCTTCCTAAGTTCCTATCTCTGTCTCTCTTCCTTCTACCTTCTTTCTTTTCAGCTTATTGTAAGCCAATTGACCCAATGAATCGCGAGGGGGATGCTGCATCCTAGAAAATAGAGACTACGTCAGAATAATAGAAAAGACAAATAGTGGAACAAGAAGAGGGAAGGAGATCAGTACTAATGCACAGTAATAAGCAACGTGAAACAAAGTTGAGAGACAGAGACATGCATCCAAGAAGTGCGTTCTCCACACCTATGGCGATATTTGAAGAGAGAGCTTAGTAGATATTTATTTAGCGAAAGTAACAGTGAAAAGTGGGATGGGATGGGATCTGTAAAAAATATATAGTGTATTCGCACCCCTTTATTAACCTTGAGGAGCTGCAACAACGCCTTCGGCAAGAAATATGCAAAATTACGAAACACTTGTTGTAACGTGGGGACTTGCCGAAGGTCAGAAATAGTTCGGATAACTTTTACCATCAATAACTTCCTAACGAACAAGTTTAGGGCACCAGTATGTTAATACTTTTTTTATAAAGCATAAGAAACTGCATCGTTCTGTGTCGTCAAGAATATAGGTTTCCATTTTAAAAACAAGTGCATTGCATTTTTCTGATGCATCGATGCACAAAAGTGCATAAAATTAGTTGCATGTTATGCGTCATCCGAAACCATTTAACTTTCACTTATAACATATTTTTCTATTCCAAACCGTTTAGAAGGTACAGCCTGTTCTAGTTGCGTGAGACACCCTATATACTGTAACCTTCGATGTCACACAACGTTAGAAATGAAACAAATAGATTACATTTTTCCTAATATTTTATTTACTAAAACCTTGTATTTATAAGTCTTAGTATCGTGGTTAAAATGACTTCCATTATCAAGAATGTTGTTTTGAGCTCAATAAACCTTCCATTACCTTGATTTGCAAGTCGCCTAATATTCCCCATCGTGTAGTGTAAATTGGGTCTGCATTTTTAATATGGCTCTATAAAAGAAATCCAGTGGTGACAAAACTGAGGACTTCGCAGGTCATTTCATGGATTTGTACGTCCAGACTCCAGATGAATTTAGTATTGCGATATTGTCCAAACAATTTACGAGGGGGCTCCTTGTTTGATTGATAATACATAAAACCAAGTAAACAAATTTGAAAAAGTAATAATGTTTGGGCTTAGTGCAGGAAAGTTGCGCCTTTAGGTGAATTACAACTACTGTGTGAAAGTCCAGCCGTGTTAGTTAATATCTTCTGCTTTAACAAGAGCCTTTATATCTTGAAATTTCGATAAAATGTATAAAATGTGTTTAAGTCAGTTTGGAACTTATTGTTCCACGCTTATTAGATCTAGACTAGTGACACTATTATTACACGATACTATTACATGTTTAAATTTGTTTTTTTATCAGCTACAAGTCTACAATATTGAAAATACCCTATTCCATTAAAAAAAAAACATTGATGACGTTAAAATTTCGGAAAATATGACCATGAGCTAATTTGTTTGTCTAACATAGTATGGCCACCCCCTAACCAGACCTTTTTCTCCTCAGACATATCTTTCAGACGTATCATTAAATCTTACAAATCTTAGGTGACTCACCCTGTATTGTATGCTATAACAAACCCCGCCGACAGAATGATACGTTCCAATTCTGCCATTCGGTATTCTAAGCGCTGCTGACAACAAAAGAACAAAACCAACGTAACATGTAACAAATACCGCAAAGAACTAAAATTTCCGGTGACAACGTCCCCCATTTACTAAGTGACTGCGAAAACAACGCTTATAACTATTGAATATAGTCGAATGTAACAGAAAATCACGAGCATTGACAATTCGGTAACCTTATTCTTGTAAATTTACATATTTACTCACTATGTATTGAATTTATTCACTAATTAATAAATTTATTACTTATTGGATATTTAAATTGATCTCTGAATCCTGAACACCAGGATTTTTCCATATTTAGAGTGTCCCATTTAAGGTGACCACCCCTAAATATCTACCCCTAAATATCTGTCTTGAACGATACGAAGAATATATTTTTAATTAATGTAAAGTAATTTATAAGTACAGTTAACAGTTCTTGTGTCGCTTAAAAGATCAAAAGCAATGAGTGTTGCGTTACGTTTTTTAAATGTTTGTTTGGACTATAAATGAACTGATATTGTTATCTGACATGAGTAAATAAACAATTTAAAAGAAAAGGTAACTGATGAGTCCATTAGCAGGCCCAAGACGCAAAGTATTCCCTCACTTCCATCTTTACCCCTTTTCAACGCTCTACACGATTGAAGGATCCAATGATATTAAATAACATTTCCTTAATAAACTATCAGTATATTATTGATTATGCTTTGCTTAGAGATATTACAATAGTAATATGCAAAGAAAAAACAGATATAATTATGTGTCTTTGAATATTAAACCATTAAAATTTGCAGTAACTGTAAGTTAGTTTCCTGATCCCTTTTTACATCGAACTATCCTTGAAAAATGAACATTTCCCTTGGTATCGGAGATAATATTCCGTGCCGCTCTTAACTTCACACCCGGTACATGGTAATCTACAACGACCGATTTCGAGTGCGCGAAAATATTTAAGTTCGTTAAAAACCTGTCTTATGAGTATGTTGTTTGCGTAGAAAATAATTAACCGCAGAAACGTTAATTAATTGTTTGTGCAAGACACAACACACGTGCATGAAAGCAATCGAATTATTAAATAAATCGTTTCGAGAATTGGAACTCTACTGTAATTAGGTACTATATTCAGATGAATGCTTTACGCATCGGTGACTTTAACAATAATATATATATATATATATATGAAACATTTGATTGTTACAGGGAAATTATACCGTTAACCCCGCATCCGGAGAAAGGTGGTCACCCTTACCTTTTATTAGCGCAATGGACCCCACGTGGCCATGGATTAGTCATGGTGCAAGACTATGATATTTATTATATAACTGGCCCTATGAGTAACACAGGATATCGAGTTACTAACACAGCGATTCCAGGTATCCTATCAAACGGATTGCCAGATTGGCTTTACGAAGGTAATGTTATACACGTACAGTGCCGTGCAAAAGCTTCCAGGCAGATAGATTTCTCACCTTATATATTAATTTTACCCAATATGATTGAAAATGGGTATAACGAAACTATAAAATACTAAATTTATTAAACAAAAGTTTTGACTTTATAGAAATAAAGTTTTTAAAATTTAGAAAAATGTCACGAACAAACTGTGATCTTTACTGTACGAGGAGCTGGTCAAGACTGACTAAGAAACGTTATAGGGAAAAAGGTAGAAAGTATTTCTATATATTTCTATATACACTGCAGTTTTTTACACATCCGTTTAGGATCAAGTCCAAGTGGCCTTCTATACATATAGAACAAAACTGTAAAAAGAAACGTGTAGCAATTACAATTCAGTGATATTTATTTAACCATTGAATATCTCGATTTAAAAACAAAGTGACTTATGTCATTGCTCGTATATGAAGATGGACATCAAGAAACTATAAAAAAAATTCTATTATCCGAAAAATCCCTTATCCGAACACCCATGCCATGAACATCATGAAATTCTACTGTATGTATGATATGATGACGGTATGATAAACAGAGTATATTAGAGTAATATTAGTAAAAATTAATTGAAATATAAGGTGAAAAATCTATTTATCCGAAAACTTTTGCGCTCCACTTTTTGTATTATCAAAAGACTTTAAAGTAAGCTTGCTATTATTATGATTTTATAGTGGAGATATTACATTGTGCGGAAGCAATATGGATGTCGCCAGATGGTCACATGATGCTGTATGCTTCTTTTAACGATTCACTAGTCGAGGAAATGCATATATCATGGTTCGGAGAAGGGAACAAAGCTCTTTATCCTGACATAAGATCTTTGCGTTATCCTAAGGTATGTCTCTTATTTTGATAAATTCTCATAATATCTCAAGCAGGTGAATACTTGAATTTATGAATTCAAGACTATGCGTGTGAAAACTTACACGGTAGAATCTTCGTTATGTGAAGTAATTAGTGAACAAAAGTGTTCAGATGAGAGAATTTTTATACAATAAGACAACAAGTGGCTGGCATTTAATTCTATTTACTTTATCGCTATAAAAATCCAAAAATAAACATTTTTACAACGCATAAAATTAGAATTGAATGGGCTCTTCAAATATACGATTACGATGAATCGGTGAATGGAACATCTGAGATTCAATTGTGACCTGTACCAAGCTATAAGCCATTTGAGGATCGCTGAGAGTCAATTGGAAAGGAGCTGGGAACGACTTATTGTTGAATTATTCGTACATAGACATACATTTATGCTGCGACGCTGACGACTGGTGAGACAAAAGAAGCAAAAAAAGACAGAAGATAGACGATAGAAGAAAAGGAAGAAAAAGAATTTGAAAAAGAAAAGATAATACAAAATTAAAATAACAGACCTTTCAAAGATTCAACAGCTAATGACACAATCCTAATCTGGAAAAGAAAAGAAAAGAAAAATGCTTGGAGTGTACAACCTGTACACGTAGAATATATCTTCCCCGCAGACTCTCTATGCCTATAGTAAACGCATATGATCCACATACACTATAAATAAATACGATCAGATTTATTGTTTTTGCAGCCTGGGACACCGAATCCTGTGGTACGACTGTATGTAGCTGATTTGGCAGATCCTAAGAATATTCATACAAAATGGGTGAAACCTCCAGCTATAATCGAGTATACGTGAGTTTTCTTTTAAATTGATATGCTTAAATAAATTGTGTTTCGTTAGGTTTCTAAAAAAAAATCGTTATTATTTAACATGTGTATAAATTAATTCTGCGCTTTTCTAAGGTAAACGTATCATTTATTTATAAATGAAAAACCATACAACTTTCAATCTTCCCAACTTTCACACATTTCGAAAATGCACGTATTAGTTGGCAAACTAACTATTAAAACAATTTGCGCGTTTCGTTATTATTTAATGTAAAAAAAATGGAGGGTAAATTTTAGAGTCTTAACGCTTAACTCTTCTCATCTTATTTCTTAAATGAAGTTTAAATAAACTAGAGTTATAAATAATTGAATGTAAAACGGCACGAAATTAATTTCTACATCTGACATATTCATTAACAGGGAACATTACTTTACGACGGCTTCCTGGGTGTCATTGACGGAAGTTTGTATAACATGGTTAACACGAGCACAGAACCTTTCCGTCGTGACTATTTGTAAGAGTCCAATGTGGCACTGTCAGGTATGTTGTAACTACTAAGCACGATTTTTATTCTTCAACTAGTTTATTAATTGTCAGATTGGGTTAGTGGGTTAAGATGTAAATGAACTGTTCACGCGCGTTTTGCACTATGTAAAGTAAATATTTATTCATGTAAAGATATTAATAAACCTTGACTATTGCCGCGATCGTACACATGGAATGCATAAGGAATAATAAAACAATCGACATCAGCCGATGTCGCTGCCACGATCCAAGCCGATGTCGATATATTTCCTAACGTTAATCTTTAATTAATTTTACATTTTCCGTAGGAAATTCAAAGAATAGTACCTGATTATCGTGGTTGGGTGGACACACCACCCGAACCACCAATCTTCTCAACAAACGGGAGCAGTTATATTGCTATAAATCCTGTTAAGGATGGTCCAAGTGGTTATTACAGACACATTGTGTGGGTGAATGTTGGCCGAAAACTGGTAGTTCCACTCACACACGGAAAATTCGAGGTCACCTCGATAGTGGCATGGGATCAAATAAACAATACCATGTGAGTTTTGTTGCATTGAATCAAATTTGTAGTAAACATTTCCGAAACAGTAACACAAACGTTAGTGTATAAATAAGCTTATAAAGGGTGAGTCACATAAGATTTGTGCCTAAAATATCTTCGTTTCTTTTAATAATACGAAGATACGTCTCAGAAATGTTCAGTTTGGAGGGGGACATACTATGACAGACAAAACAAAAATTAGCTACAGATCACATTTTCCGAAATATCAACATCAATGTATTTTTTTAAATGAAAAAGGGTATGTTCAATATTGTAGTCTTGTAGCAGACGCAAAGACAAATTGAAACGTGTATAAAATGTTGATCTTTGTATGATCGTACACTTTTTTGGGGGAAAAATATGTAAATAGTTGCTTAATCTTCAAAAGTTCCTAGCTCTTTTAATAATAAACATTTTGGATCGAAACTGTTTGTCATTGCAGATCTCATGGAATCCTACAAAAAACATATATAAACTTTTTCTCTAAAATGAAAACCCAATTATTTAAAAAATAGAAGAAAGATTTTTTAAGAATTCGCAAGGGGGGTTGTTCATTGCTTTTGATCAAAATCTAAATTCGTCTATAAAAATTATTTATTACTGGTTCCCCTATTATAGCTCGGGTACCTCGGTATCGCTAAACCCGTACTGTAGTTACAATCAAACATAGCTACAGCATCCCGGGTCGTTACTATTTATGCATCAGAAGTAAAGTTCGTACGCGTTGCAGAAGAAAGTTTCAAACCAAATGCTTATGCGCAAACATTAGTATTATACTTATGCTTTCGAAACAAATTTTGTTTAAATATTTTTTTATACAATGAATAACATTGTAAAATAAATAATACTTAAAATTTGATTCAGCTTGCATAATAAATAGAAATGTATGTAACAATGTTTAGGAATATTTTATAAATGTGAATTGGAAAAGTGTATGTATTGTTCCAAGTTCTTTGGAGTATTAAGGGAGTCAGTGGTCATTCATGTGGAATACTACCAGTAATTTTCTAGATAAAGATATGAAAATAAGTATTCTTATATGGTTTTACATAGCGAATTAAAAAATGGTATATAATTCAATTTAAAAGCAAAATTTTTTCCATATTTTGGAAAAAAATAATCGTATCACAAAATCCATACCCTTATTTGTTTGATTCCTTTCGAAGAGTATGCAAACAAATTTTATTCGAATAACTTCATTTTTTGAAGGAGTTATTTTGACTTATATGGAAAGTTTATCATAACTACCATGTTTTACTTACAATTTGATTGCAAGTTATTCAATGCGATAACGACACCATTCTTGACTCTAATCTAACCTTTTTACTTAGATACTTTATAGGTATTCCAGCAATGAGGCCAGGCCAGAGGCACCTTTATTACGTGAAATCTGAACTACCGCATGTAGGCTCGTCCCTGCATCCCGCTGTTTGCATGACTTGCACAGAAATATTAGACGGGAGTCGGAATAACCATCGGAAAACCCTCGCTCGTCACAATAGCGCTTGGTCGGTCAATAATTATATTCACGACCATTATGAGATGCAAACAGATACTACGCCAAGCGCGGAACAAAAACCGCCGAAGGAGAAAGTTACGAAGAAACAAAAATTAAAAGTACATGCGCCACCAAGTGAGTATCGATTAACAGAAAAAATTCATGATTCAATTGCACATACAGGGTGCCCCAAAACTCCTGTAAGAACCGGAAATGGGGGATAGCTGACACGATTCTGAACAACAATTTGTCACAACAAATGTCTTGCGACAATGTTTTACGAATTATTGGGCACGTTAAGAACGTTTAGGCGTATCTTTAATTTTTGTAGGCAGAATGACAATAAAATTTCGAAATAGTTCGATGATAACAAGAGTACCATAAATTCAGAAATAAATAAGAAGTAAATAAAAATGCAGAGAATTTAAATCAACTGAACACCCAGTTAACTTGAAACTTGTCAAGCATCATGTATGGATTGCAAAAGATTATTTTCTAATACACTCACGAGGTTGTTCATTTTCTAATTTTGCAATAGCATACACGTATAGTGCAAACAAACGATGCAATTACGTGCAGACATCTCAGCTTTTGTTCTTTCCTCTCGAATCCAATTTCCAAACGTGTTAAAGATGCATCGAAACATGCAAAAACACGAATTTTTGTTAAAGAAAAATACTCATTTTAACAAATATCTTATCACTCGTTTGGGTTTCTTGTATATTAATGAAGTATCGTATATAAAGACGATTAGTTTCGAAGGATCGGCGCCCAAATGATATCGAATGCATGATTTTATCGTTTACTTATCCACCGTTCTAACGGAATGTTTCTTTCTTAATTTTAGAGTTTACCGAAGAACCTTGTCAATACCACAATGTTATATTTCCACCAGGCAGTACAAGCTATTTCGTGTTAGAATGTTATGGACCTGATATACCAACCGTTGCTTTGTACAAAACTGAATTTCCTATGCGACGACCTATTTATATTCTACAGAATAATACTCTGTTACGCGTAAGTTGTCTTTCCGTCCCACGGCTGGTTAAATTTTTATTTACAAGATTGAAGTACTTTAATTTCCTCTTTGTTCCCAATAGACACGCACAAATTGTTTTTAACGCTTCACATTTCACTCAGCAGCCTGATCCCCGGAAGTGAATCGAGTCACAACTCTTTTTTGATTGTATACCTCTTTTATTCTTTAATTTTCAGTTATTATCGTGCAATACATGAAATGAGATGAAATTGAGATCATATAAGTATCATATAAAAGCTCGCGACTCGAATGTTGATAAAATATTAAAAAATTGGAAGTACGGTTCATTACACAAACATTTTTTTTAAATAATAACTTACGTGATAACTTTATAGTAAAAATTGATCTTTAAATGCAAGTTGTAGAATATTTACACACAAGACTCTAAGGACTACAAATTAAAAAGAAAAAAATCATACGTTGACATATAAAAGCACGATTCTGTTTTAAAATACAGTCAGTGTAATAAGCAGACTGCGGATCTTTATGCATTTATAGGAAATTTGAATGCGTAAGAACCTACAAAATGCAAACAATATGCAAGAATATAAAAAAGTTTGAAAGTAAAGTTCATGTTATAACATTTGCAGAATAAAATAAATTCCTATTAGGTTCAATTTTTGTAGGTACATTTACAAAGATTTTATTTTGCATAAAGATCCGCAGTCTGTAGTAATAAGTATTCATACAGGAACCATTTATTTTAAATTGGTTGCTGTACGAATACTTCTTACACTGACTGTATATGTAAAATGCACATGCTTCGTAACATTTATGAAAAAAAGTGTGAACCACTGGACTATTCACCTTTTTTCTAATTTTGCAATCAGAGAAATATCTCGATTCACTTCTACGTATCGCCAAGTAGTTTTCCAGCCGAAACATGAAGTAGTGAGGACAATGTATATAGATTGTAGAGTATTCATTACCGTATGCAACGAAAGATACTCATATAAACATATACGGCGTATTTGTTTTCAAGTTAGAGCTATTCTAGTACTCCGATAGTGTGCAGCTGCTTTGTAAAAAATATTCCTTATAATCTAAATAAATCTAAATAATGTTTAGGCAATATGTCATTGAGTTTATCGATCTTTAAACATTCCAGGCGTATATATGTACCTACATTGGATTTATTCACAGTCTTGTTGTGTACGACAAAGTATTTCAACGTTGACAGAGGTGAATAAACAATCATTTTATAGAGTCTCGAGAAATAAAAATGCAGTGGACGTAAGTCTAGAGACGGACCAAGCCAAACGATACGTTGCACAAGATCTCTATCAGTTTGTTACAAAATCGTTCAGTGAACAAATGTCTATTAAGTGGTATTATTTTATGCATCAATCGTATGTGACTTGTTGGGTTGATTTATAGATAAATTCAGCTGCAGTTAAATAACAAATAATCGTGCTTTCGGGGAACATCTTGCAAATAGGAAATTTTTATTTGTTTAGTAAATGGGAACGAGTGGTAATCAACGATGGTGATTATAAAATTGATTAAAATTGATTATGAAGTAATATTATTGAATATTATTTAAATGGAAAATTATGCATTTATGGTAAGTGTAATTATGGGAAAATGTACAAGGATGTGCCAATTTCAAAAATATATAAAATATCAACAATAAGATACATTGTAAAATGTATCTATTATTACTCAAATAGAAGTTTATGCATTTATGGTAACTGGAATTATGGGAAAATGTACAAGGATGTGTCAATTTCAAAAATATATAAAATGTATTTTACAATGTATCTTATTGTTGATATATCATATATTTTTGAAATTGGCACATCCTTGTACATTTTTCCATAATTCCAGTTACCATAAATGCATAAACTTCCATTTAAATAATATTCAATAATACTACTTCATAATAAATTAATAAAGAATCTCTCATTTCTTGATGTACATCTGTAGAAATATGAATTCTCATAAACATTCGCAGTCTAGTTATAATATATTTGGAAATAAATTGTGAATTAAATAATTGAAGCTACATATTTATGAATCAGCCCAAGATACTTTTCAATAGTTCAATCAATTAACTATTCCAGATATTGGCAATAGATTCCCCCAATAATTCTTGTTAAGGAAAATAAAAATTTATCGTGCCTTGCGAACAATCAATTTTGTTAAATCAGTTGTACGAACTCAGTTTGTCATAACTAATTATTAAATGACAAAAAAGACCATACATAGGAAAGATGATACGGGGCATATGTTTATATGAGCGTTTTTCAGTTTCGTGTCGCAGGAGTGAGTCGCACATTTTCCAAAATAATCCATATACAAACGCAAATATTTGTTATTGTAGGAGAGGGTTGCTAATCTTGCTCTTCCACAAGTTAAAACGTTCCCCGTCCAAATAAGTGGCGGATACAACGCGCAAGTGAGGTTGTATCTACCACCTGGCCTGAGGGAAGATGAAATAACACGGTATCCATTAATCGTGCAAGTGTAAGTGTATATTCAGTTTTGATCGAATATATTGCGACAAAGCATGGACAACTTTGTTTCACATATTTATCTAATACTTTTACTCTAATATTTTTTTTTCTATAACTGATCATTTCCATTCTACGTTCTCGTAGATATGGAGCACCAGGTTCACAGCTGGTAACAGACGTGTTTAAAATAGATTGGAACACTTACCTGGCTAGTAGGAAAAATATGATCGTCGCGCAAATTGATGGTAGAGGTAGTGGAGGTCAAGGTTACAAGTTTCTTCACGAAGTTTACTATAGGCTCGGGTCGGTAGAGGTTGCTGATCAACTTGAAGTTACTGAGTGAGTACATATACGTAGTTAGTTCCGTAAATATTCGCACCCTGTGTGTCTATTGAAGCAATTTGTCTAAATTAAATGATATGTTTATATTTAAGTAAATGTTTAATTATAAATACGTACACGAATAAACTGTACACAAGTATATATTTCTAATGAAATATTTATTTGAAAACGTCAAACCTATCATTTAATTTAAACAAACTTCTTCAATAAACATAGAGGGTACGAATGCTCACGAGGCTGACTGTACTTGTATATACAAAAATGATGAGATCGATTGAATAAATAATATGAAACAGATTGAATAACATATGATGAAATCGATTGTTTCAATAGTGTTGCAATCTTTATCATAAGTTTGAGCTCGTATTATAATTTACAAGGTTATTCTCCAATATTTTATTATAAAAGGGAAACCCAACCAGTGGGCCCTACCTGACTTCCACCCTTGGGACCCAGGGTCCCTTGTACACTTCAAGCTGGGGTGGAAGACATAGAGGACGTGCTGGATCACCCACAACACACGCGATAACGAGACAAGAGCTTTCTCAAAAGGGAAAAGATTCGCGCCCGCTACACGTGTCCGTCTCTTATCGCGTCGAAACGTTAATTAATTTTCCCTGAATCTTCTGCTCGCGATCGTCGGTCTTCGTGCTCCTTCGTGTCGCCTCGCTCACGGTTCTCTCCACTCAGGACCTGTAGGAACTTCTTACGGCCGACCACCACCCCGATTGCGAATCGGGAGCAATTCTGGAGTTCCCGTGGGAGCTCCGCAAGGAGGGAGGGAGAGGGTGGTGATGGTTGGACTGTCCACCGATGTGGAGGTGGCCTTATCGGGGCCCTACCCTCGTCACAATTTATTATATTTCTTGATTATTTTTATGGTAACCCTTTGGACACGAGACCTTTTTTTCTGGTATCTAACAGCAACTCAAGATGCTTTATTAGAATTCTATTGCCACGAATGCTAAGCTTAAATTTACTTCGAAAACGAGATCCCTAATTTAAGATTCGAAAACCGGGTCACCTTTAGCTCACCGATGATCATTTTATTGACACTAAAGGGTTAATATATGTCATATATTTGATAACGTCAATGGTGACTGCAAAAAAACTGCGAAACAACGTATTTAATAATTAATAAACTAATACCCTTGAGTTTATATATTTCATTTTTCAGTACGGTGTTTTAATTTACAAACTTTGTATCATATGTATTATAATTGAAATGATATTTATAATGGGTTAAAGTTCGTAGCGTTTTGTCGCTCGATCAAAGCAATAATGCTACGCAGGCTTGTGACAAAATTTGTAGCGTTTACGGACAAAATGAATGTTTTAGACCAGTGGTAATTAAATTATTTGGAAGATGTCACTTCTAAAAACTAGAAGAATTTCATTTTGGCTCTATCAAAATTTTGATGTCAAAGATGCATTACGCTGTGATCGACCAATCACAGAACCATGTGATGAAATCATGCAAATGGTTGAGAAACGCCACGAACTTTTTCGAATACCCTATATTATTATAAATATTGCAGGGGATTCAATTTTACATGTCAAAATTTAATAGTATATCTAATAAAAATATTTCACCTTGTATTTGCAGATACTTGCGGGACTCGTTGCATTTTGTGGATAAACAACGTGTCGCCGTTTGGGGCTGGAGCTATGGAGGATTCGTAGCCGCTCTGGCGTTAGCGTACCCCGAACAAAATGTGTTCCAATGTGGTATCAGTGTGGCACCAGTCGTTTCGTGGAAGCTTTACGGTATACTGCAGTTCGGTCTAATTTTATAAGCTGATCATTAGTTTAACATAGTATTGATATTAAAATAGCATTTTCTACGTTACACAGTTGAAAATTGTGCGTTCTTGCATATAAAAATCTCTTCTGCAATGATAAAATACTGTAGGTAATTAACATATTCAGAAAATGATATCTATTATTTTATTTGTACAGATTCGGCGTATGCTGAAAGATACATGGGTTTCCCAAGCGTTGCATCAAATTATAAAGGATACGCTGAGTCAGACGTGTACGACAAGGTGGAATATTTACGAAATAAAATGTTTTACCTGGTGCACGGCACTGCGGATGATAATGTTCAGTTTCAACAGTCTATGGCACTCGCACGACATCTAGCTAAAAAAGGCATACTGTTTCGGCAACAGGTAATTTTGTTTATCATTAGGACGTTTTTTATTTAGATAAATTTCAATTTTACTTTGAATGCATGCAGCAGTTTATTGAAAATCATGATTGAAGTACAATTTAAACCAGACAGAGAATATCTCTTGCTTTATTGCACTTATTCTTTTCTTTTTTATTGCGCAGAAATTTTTCCAATTTTTAAGAGTAACATCTTTCAAATAATTCAATTACCACTGGTCTAAAACATTCATTTTTGCTGGTAGTAATTTACCTTTGAACGGGATATTCTAAGTCTGAATCAATGTAATCATCTGTCAGTATCCGAGCACACAACATTTTCATCGATTTACGTATCTTTAATTTCGTGTCTGTACGACTTCGATTTTCCAATAGAATCTGTATTGCGATAAAATATTCTTACGGCGATTAAATATATATCATTTATTTACAGGTCTACCCAGACGTGAGTCATACTCTAGCAGGCGTCACGGGTCATCTGTATTTATCGATGGCACAATTTTTGGAAGATTGCTTCCAAAAACGGGCGCCGGCGGATGCGAAAGCTGGTCTAATCAGCGGTGGATCTAATCTGTAGTTATATGTACATAATGAAATTCAAAGATCAATCTAATACTTGTAATAGTATTCCATACATAAATATTACATCTCAATATGTCGAAATTGTGTTCCGTTTATTAATGTCGGTAGGATAAAAATATTTTCGCATTATATTCTATATATTGACTTGATGTAAGGAAAGGGCACACGAATAAGATTAATGACAAACCATTTAAATTATGCTTATTTCATCTTTCGGTCAAGGGCGAATTTTCGATGAGCGAAAGCAAAATAATTGCTTATTCAAGGGTACGAAAGAGACGTCGCTGCATCGAGGGTTAAATGTGGCTGGTTCTATTAAAGTGTTAGATATTCGCCAACTAAGAATAGATTAAATAGTCCAAGTACTATTACAAATTAAAATAGAGAATATTCATTTATATATATTTGTATACATGTATGTACATTATGTAAGTTCTCTTTTAAATTTTAAACGTCTTATGAAAATATTTATCAAGAACAATAATAATCTATATTTTGTTCCCTATCGGAGTACAAGTTCCTCTATTATATTCTCCCATTACTAAACCTGAACATTTTATTCCTGAGTAGACTCGAACACGTTTAAAATGATATTATTTGAAATATTATTTCAGATAACATACTACTTTATTTCATGATTATTTTCATAGCTGTGATCACATTTGAAATAAAATTATTTGGGATATTATATAAAATTGCATATTATTTTATTTTATAACTATTTGAAATAACGGCGAAGTTGATCGTCAAAGTGATACCGAACTACTATATCGTCTAGTTAGCTTTCAAGTATTTTTGTATTCTTTATGCGCATTTTGTCCACAAAATATACAAAATGATCGAATGGGTTAATGATAGTGTACTATTTTTTGCGCCAGAAGTGTACATTAGTAAACACATAAAAATGGGTATTTGTCAGAAACAAGCAGGAGATTCAAATTTAGGACAAAATAGAATAATATGTCAAGCATGATAAACAAATTGTTAAATCAATATTCGGGAGCTCTTTTCATTTTTTCTAGTCGAGTAAGGCACCAAATATCTTGAATTTATAGATTGTACAATGAATTACATAAACAAAACAAAAAACAATTTGGATCCTTTATCACCCATAATTAAGTTCATTAATGTGTTGGTACTTATTGTTAGATTAGGGTATTGAGTTGTGCTGAAAATATTTTCCAACTCTGAAAGAATAGAATTACAAATATCATACTAAGTCGCTAGCATAAATAGAATTCTAAACATTTTTTAAAAATTATGTCGTTCATCTTAGAATTTTAACAATCATTTTAAGCTGCATCTATCTCAAACACGAGAAGCTTGAACTTAGTCATCGTTTCGTACATGAAAAATTCACGTAGCATCAAAGTAATAGATAGATGATCATTTTAAAAAATGGAACCATTTAAAAATTTCTAAAGAATAAATAGATAAATGGTTTCAAAAAATTCAATCTTTGAGGACGATGATTTAAAAGAACGTGGAACTATGTAAAAATTACCAAAGAAGAATAAACAAAATCCAAACTTCGAATTACATACAATATCACGTGACTAAGGAATTCAGTCCACATCAAACCCTACCACCAAGCTATCCGCTCACCAGATCTCGAAATTCTCGATAAAATACCTCGCAACTCGAAATCGAATTTTCATCGTCAAAGTTCACCGAACGGAACTCTCCTTCTTCAATAAAGGATGACATTTTCATGGAGGGAAATTCACAGCGACCACCCTCGATCTCGCAACAAAAATTGAAACGAGAACATAAATGAAACACCTAACAGACGTTTCTGCGCGTCCTCGTGCTCTCAGTTCCGTACATACGCACATATATTCTCTATTTCCTGTGATATGAACTAAAAGAAAAAAGAAATAAATAAATGCTCGAAACATTATCCACTCTTTTACACCCACGACAGCGACAAACAAACATTCTTTTTCCATTCATACAAAAGTAACGTTCGCACTCGATTCTCTCGTTAAATAAAAGCAACGACGTTCGAAGTTTCATGGAAACAGACGAGCTGCGCCCGATCGTTGGCCTATTTTCGAAAAAACAGACCCAGGGCGCCGGCGAGTCCCAGAACCATCCCTGAAGGCTGCCTTCAGGGTGTGTTTGCGCATGAGGGTTGCGGCTGGCTCGCGTTTTATTGACTGAAAACCGTCGCGCGTGCGCGCCACTCCACCGTGGGAAACGTCGTTCGACCTTTCGACTTCGATACATCGATTCCCGCGTCGCTGGCGTTAACGCGAAAATTCCCGTTGCAACGTAATTTGGCGAAGGAGTTCTCTAGCGTCTGGTTGCGTTTCGCGAAATTCGTTGAGTCGCTCGATTAATTATTCGAGAAGAACAGGAAGGAGAGGAGGGATTCGCGGAAACGCGAATAAGCGATTCAAGAGGTTCGAGGTCGATCGAGATATCGCTGGAGCGGCGGCGATATCGCGACGGTGCCGCTGGAAATTTTATCAATACCGCGGCCGTCTAGTCGCTGACAGTCGTTCGTGAAAAGTACGCGGTCATCTGACGGGGTTGCCAGGACCACCGGATAGCTCTAGTTCAGGAAACCAGCAGCGACCGACGAACAACATGTGAGTAGATCGACGAATCCCTGCCACGTTCGCGAGAAGTGATTTCTACGTCGTAAAAAGAGAAGGAACCTGCTGAAACTGACGATTCCCTGCGGACGAATCTATATCCAATTGTCCCGCTATCCGCTGATGCAACCTCTACGCAAAAAACCCTGTACCTTTAACAACCTCGATCAATTCCTATTAAATCGGTTGGTCGTCGAGAACCGCAAGTGACTCTGACAGTTTCCGTGGGGGTTTCCCCTTTAATTCCATAATTGACACCCCGCATCTTCGACGGAACGCGGACTCGGTTTGGAATGTGTGTCACTGGGAATTTAAAGCGATTCTAAATAGCTCTCGCAGCGAATTTTTGATACGACGTTGAAGAGGGGGTTCCCTTTACAGTGTGATTTCTTGCCAACCCTCCGCTGTATGGTACTCGAATTCGTGGCACTCGAGGGAGTTCTCACAGCGGAGGGTGAATAACGAACTTGTAATGAAACCATAGATCCGGCGCACAGCTGGGAAAGATGCAGTCGTGCGAAACGTTGATGGAAATTATGGGGTTGCCAATTTGAAACACGAAAATGTCCCACGGAGTTTGTTATGTTCGTTAATCCCGATTCCGCTCGCTCGAGGTTCGATTCGGAAGAAATTCGATCGTAATTTCGTGGTCGTCGTCGTGTGATCGGTTCGCCGACAAGCATCGAATTCGGTGAAGCGAGTTTTAAGACGCAATTTCATAGGCCTTTGTCGCCAATCGATTTCGTTGCACGGCCAGTCCGCGATACACGCCAGAATTTCCAATAAAGTGCAGCAAAGCTTAAAGCGGACCACCGAGGCGATTTCCTTCGGACAGTGAAATTGCGGTCATTGAATTCTGGGCACTCGCCATGCCCCTCTTTCGTCATCGAACGGTCCATGATAAGGCTGAACAAATTGCTCGTAGATTTGCCATCTTATTCCATCGTCGACCGTTCGATTCGCGCATCTTCGCTAGGCTATTCCAACTCGACACTTTGAAGAAGGTCCGAATTATGATATCTGTCGTTTCCAACACGATGACAGTGCGGATCATAATCTTTTTCGTGGCCTAAACCAAGTACAATGACGTCAAACATAATTCTATTATTTCATACTTGGTATTAAAAGGGTACTATATGTACCTTAATATGGACATTGTTCAATATTCAACTTGGAAGAAATTATAGAATTATATAATAATATTCGAATTCATGCTTTGAATTCTAGGTTTTATTATTTCAACCAGTGATGGACAACTTTATTTGTTGTCGACATTGTCTAACATTCCACTTTGATGAAGTTGTTAAATTGTGTAATAATATTCGAATTTATGTTTTTAGTTGTAGTTGTTGTGGTAGTAAGTTGTGGTGGACAACATTTACGAATTAGATCAAATGAAATAGTTCAAATATAATTGTATTATTTATGCTTAATGTCAATTTTATTTATAGATATATACCTTAATACGGAAATTGTTTAGCATTTAACTCCGATGGAATTATACAATTATATACGTAATAATATCCGAATTCCTGCCTTGAATTGTAGGTTTTATTATTTTGATCAGTGGTGCACAGCTTTTCTCGTTTGTAAAATAAATAAAATAAAATAATATTTCTGGAGATTTAAAAACTGCAATGGCTGATGTTTGATTTTAGATACGAGGTATTTCATATTTAGCGTTGATAAAGTTGTAGTAAATTGCATAACAATGCTAAAATTCACATATGAATCTCACTATACATTGTTTAGACCAGAGATATTCTAACGATTCATTCATGAGGTTTGCTCTATAAAATACTTCATTTTAAAATACAAATTCTATATTTTATTCGAAACATCGTGTCGATGTAATTCATTGTAATTAACTTCACAATTAAAAATTAACTTCACAATCTAAAAATTGAATTTATATCATAGGTTCAAACAACCAAACACGACGAAACAGAAACTATTATGAAATAATATTTAATTTTTAACGCAATATTGAAGGTACTTTAGTATTTATTTTTATTTATCTATTTAATATTTGGCTTCGATGAAATGATAGCAAATTACAGAATATTATTCAGATTCTCATCTAATAATTGACTTATTTCATTTGGTATTATTCGTGAAACGCTACACGCGGTTAATTAAGACGTCGTTATTCAAGGTTATTATTTAGTTACTTTTTATACAATTTATTTTATATTGTATAAGATACATATATGTACACTTACTTTAATTTTTAAAATACATCTAAGCATAGTTTAAATCGAAAAACCAGAATTTCCATCAAGTTCCTTGAAATGAACTCCAAAAGGGAACTTTATTTTAGGCCAATTTGAACTCCAGTTTTCCTTCAACTGCGACAAGTGTTCGAGAAACCAAAAAGAAGCGATGAATATCGACGTTTCAGCGTTAAAGCAATGCTATCTGAGCGAGCTACCGTAATCGTTAACATATTTTTTGACCCGTAGAATCGTGAGCCTTAATTACGAACTCACGCGTACTGGTGGCAATCAATTCCAACACACGCGGGAACCGTACATTCTACTCGCTGTGTTTCTATATTTAGATAATCAATGCCGACCACATTTGCACCAATGTTCTACGGCTTTGGCGATGAAGCGAAAAGGTGTGCTTTCCGACGCTTATCGCAGCGAATCGGTGCAAGTAGATTATCCTCGACTTAGTCAGACAAACGTACATTAGTGTACACCGAGTCTGGTCGAAGCATACCTTGCAACCAGTGAATGGCTGATTTTTTTCAACGCCATTTTTCTTCTCTTCTTTAGGCAACTTTTTCTTATAAATAATAGAAATTGCTCCTATGTAATTTCATATTTTTTAAAAATTCAGTCTAGATGAAACTAACCGAGTTCGATAGCCGAGTTAGCGATGAAATTAGGTGCACTTACAATTAGCGTGATTGTTAATCGTTTCTATTATGTTCAAATTTCAAAAATTTGTATTTAGGAATCACGATAAAAGATACACTCTCACAAGCAGCTTCGCATTTCCTTTAAATAAATAATTCTGAAGTATTTTATTATTAACGTTTTCGATGAATCTAAAATTAGGACACGGATGCGATGATTTTCTAAAAGAAAGTTGACGCCTTCAAACATTAGCAAAAGTTTCTTCGTTCGCGCGTCGAACGTGTCATCATACAACTTTCTAAACAGGAAAAATCGATTTTATCCAACGAGAGTTTGTTGCAACTCGTGTCGTTACATTTTACACTCAAATATATTACCAATTAGATGCTAATATAAATTATTATAAAGTACCATTTGATCCGTATTTTTCATTTATATATACTTCAAAATTTAATCTTATTTTATATTGTAATTATTATTACACAATTTTCATATTATATAGAAGGGCAGTTTAGATATATAAGACTTTTCTGATTATTACATATAAATAAACAGAGTTTGTAACTAAATGATCCGATAAACAATTTTACAAGAAAGACTTCAGAATTTACTTTATAGTACGAAATATATTCGATATTTTTCTTTGAAATGAACGTACACGTGATTTTATTATTATAAAATAAAATCTTTAACCCTCTTTTGGATAACCCTTTATAACAAACGTGATGTCACCGTTACAAAATGCATCAGTTTCTACCTATTAATTTAATTATCACAGTGATTTAATTATGATCTGCCTTCTTCTAATCATTGAATTGTACGATTCAACATCGCAAGATAAACAACTGAAAAAGACAAACAGAAGCACGTAGCACAATTAATAGGACAGAAAATTTTACGCATCAAAATCAAGGGTAATCCAATAATGACGATGACCGGAGGATCAGCCACGATCGATATATTAATCCGATAACATAAGCTTCTTGAATGCATAAAGTCTCTGGACCACGTGAATCTCTCTCCTCCGTACCCCAATAAAAAATTGTTCTCTCCGAATGTACTGAAAATTTCCGTGGGAGAAATAATTACTTGGGCTTCCTGCGAACCGCAAAGTGAAAAATTTCCAAATTAATCGACTGCTTTATTTCCGTGAAAATGAATAATTAGCGAGGCACCTGTGCAAAGTTGTATATTAAAATGTGTCGGAATGAATTATGTCGAATTGTCGGATGTGTCGGATAGTCGTTGTTAATTTCTGCTAGACTGTGGAGTACCTTTGTTACGCAAAAATAGCGCAGTGTCTAACAATCGTCCAATGGATTCGATTGCAATTTGCTTTTTAATAATGTTAAATGAAAATGGTTACTCCATTTTAAGTATTTGATGATACAACAGCAGAAGAATTCAGGAATTTTGCCTAGATTTATTTTCTTTAACGCCTCGTCTTTAGAATAAGTTTTTTTAATTTCTAGTGAAAAATCCTGACGCGGATATATGAGTGATGTCGCAGTCAAGGTATTAACCCTTTGCAGTGGAGGCCTTTTTTTCTGGTATCTGCCAGCAACTCGAGATGTTTCTTAGCATTCTATTGCCATGAATTCTAAGCCTATCTAGATTTGAGAATAAGGTCACCTTTACCTCGCCGACAATCATTTTATTGATAGTTCGAGTTCCAAAGAAATTAAACCTAAAGAAACATCAGGTATTGTAAATTTGCTGCGTGAAACGTAATGGTGACTGATTGTGAGAGTCACCTCTCGAGTGCAAAGGGTTAAGCGACATCTACTTCCATGTTTCATCGAACAAAAGTCCGTGTGAAAATCTGTGTAAAAGTACCATTTGTGTCTTATTGAAAAACGAAATCCTAAAGCCTCTTTTGGAAATCGATCAGCTGTTGCTAGTCGGGTTGTTGGATAAGCGGCCAAAAATAAAACCGCCGGCTCTCTTCGACCGCATTTTAATCTGCCATCGTGCCCGATATCTCCAGAAATAGTGATTTACCGAGCCGAACACGCGCACGGAATCGAAAGCAACGACCAAGTATTCTCGCCATCTATTGCAAAAGTTGCCAGGTCGAAAACATGAAGAACATTTCACTTCCTTAAAATAAATTGGCCTGATTCGGAGGCA